AATTTTCGACATCAATTTACAATATGAGTGTTTAGCCGAAAAATAGCTATTTTCGCTGCAGCATTACATAACTTCCTCTGTACTACGTATGGATATGCCGGAAAGTAAAGTCTACAACATAGACTTATTTGGATTGCAGCGTTTCTATTTTCCGAATAAAGGGGAATAGTACTACAAAACAACCACTGCGAGAGAAATCTTGAACGCACAGTATCCAATGAAGTTTAAATCTAATAATTTGTTTAAGTTACCACTTGAAATACATATGGCGTGACACGTACGGCGTGAGTCTTGGCCCATGAACTCACGCGACAGACATTCCAATTCCGCGCGCGGCAGAGAGGTTAATTAACGGCAGCAGAGATAGTACCAAGCAAGTGGTTGATTGACGGCAACAGAGATAGCGCTTCACAGAGCGATCGATGTGCGAAGCAAGAGATCGAGCCGGCAGAGGGACCTATTGTGTGAGGATCTCGGTGATGAGCGGGGCCAGAGAGGAATTAGTATTTTCACCAGAGAAAAGGAAGCAGGGTGGCAGCTGAGCGGTATCAGAGGTGAGCCCATTAAGTCAATTGCTGGAGAATACATCGAGTTAAATTGCTTATTGACGACACATTTGTGGATAGTTAATATTACCGTAGCAACGAGCAAGGAAGATATCACAATTTTAGAAAATATTCATGTGAAGTGGCGAGAGTTGTACACGAATGTTATTCTTATTTGTTGGAGCTTACTTGTAGAACAGATTTTCGTTAAGACAGCATATGCCGTTGTTTATTTAGCTACCATTAATTGAATTAAATTTGTATCGTAGGGAAAATTTCCACAATCGTTTAGAAATTGCGCAAATTGTCGTACAATCCATAGAGGAATTCTGCATAAAAGTTGCACAAGGTAGTTCTAGTACCGTGAAAACTTTAAAAACGGGTAAATGAGTATAAACCACATTTGAAAATAGGAAGAGTAATCAAATCAAGTGCAGGAACGTTTAGAAATTGACATTAATGTAAATATTCTTGATTAATGAAACTTTTTTTCGTAGTTACGCCTGGCAACATAAGTTCGTGGTGAGCCTATTTCCGACGTGGTCGCTGAAAGTGAAACGGTTTGCGTCTCTTTAATTTCAAGAAGTACATCTCCGTGCATGTGAGGGTGGGGAAACTGAAATATGTGCTCTTGATCACAAGAAGAACAGGTTACAACGCGATCTCATTTCAGTTATAAAACGAATCCAAGTAATGCTTTTGAAATACAGTCACTGAGTGACTGTAGAAGTACTTAATTACAGGACAGATATCCCATATTTTATTATTCTTTCAAGATATCGCAAGTGAAACACTTGATTCATTAATTCAATCTCGAAACTTGATCTACATTAGCCGCCATGTTCATATATTTGAAATCGTCAAAAGAACGTTATATATTTAAAATTCTTGCCATGGCAACCGATTTCTATGAAGTTCACCGGCCAGTTAAGCGTTTGAAGACGCAAAAATGCAAATTTTCGTTAATATTTACTGTGATACCACGTATCTGTCGTTGACTGCGGAACACCCATTATTTCGGTCTTTCAGCCCGCGGCAGGCATAAGACTCGCAAAAAATGAACTTACTTTCAGAATGGGTTGGAATCATCACTTTCCCCACACCACTTGGGATACTAAGCGAGAGCAGGAATTTTCATTAATACGCGAAACTTTAATTTTACAAATATATTTATTGTAATAACTATCAGTTCTGTCACAAAGTGACTGTTTAGACGTTCCCTAGCGCAAATTACAAGGAACTACTGTTATCTGTCATTACTTCTTTTGCAAATTAAGGAAGAAATCTTCGATTGTGCATTACCCTTGTATTTAAATTGACAGTGGAAGAATTATTTCCTCCTCCGAATGCGCGGTGCCGCCAGCACTGTTTAGCTTGTTTCTATACTGCCTCAGTCTATTGTCGGACGGCACAGTTCCTCGGCACCCGTCACTCTGCGGTCTCACACATCCGTAAACTCTTACTGGCTCCAGCATCAATTGATGTCACTGTACTGCCTCTGACCGGGAGATCCAGTTTACTACATTCGATCTCGCCATCCAACGGGGAAAGATCACTGCCAACTCCTATAGTAAAACATGCACTACATTTACTGTACCGAGACCTTAGCAGTTGAAGCACCCAGAATCACTAAGCAATCAATCGGTAGAATCCATAAGCTCGGGATTGTTCTATGTTCATTAGATACCCGATAAACGCGCACTAGGCTCGTTGAGGGTCCAAGACACGTCGTAGCGTCGCGACGTGAGCCAGAGCTAATGACTAGAAACCTGCACTGGGCCTAGATCCTCGCGAGCACCATTTCACGGGCCCGCCAGCGAGCGTCTCTCGGGTTATCGCGTTTCTGTCAGCGTACACGTGCCCTCTACGCGAGGAGCTTAAGTTCGGAAGTTGCAACCTTTATACGAAGAGCTAAAGTGAGTGATTGTCGCCTTACTACATGAGTAGTAAAGAAAAAGTATAGTAATCTTGCTGCGAAAATCTGCGATTTTTCAACAGAAAACTTACTGTCGGGCCTTGTTAACAAAAACGTGGAAATATCTTATTCCTATATGTAGTAAACTTCTTTCTCTAACACGTTGTAGTTGTGTATTTGAGAGAACATTCATAGTTGAACCTTTTAACTGTCGAACACGGACAATCACTTTTAATTTGAGACGTCAAAACGTCTGTCTGTTCGTTTCTCTTTGTTCAACTCTAGCGCCTACACTGTTACTTTTATTTATTTACGTCGAAAAACAGTTAAAAAATGTGTGTGACGTGACTGTTCAGACGATTTGCTTCAAAATAGATATTCTCCGATAAATCTGAACGAACTAGAGACCCTGCGAATTTGAAAAGGATATTTTTATTTGGAGGAAGGTACTTTACATGATGCCTCAACAATATTTTCAACATTTTTTCAAAAATGTCTCCCAACTTTTTGATTACACCTTGTCGGATAGCATAGAGAATGCTTAAAAATGACGCCGATCTCGTTTTCGTTGAACTCTCTGGATTTTTTAAAATAACAGAATTTCATTTTTGTCGATGTGTTCCTACAACTACAATATTGAAGATACAACTTTTTTATATCTTGACTGAAATCTGTTGATCAAAGACATATTTTGAAATAAGGTCATGTACAATGTTTCAAAAATCTGAGTAATTCTCTCGTAGTCCTGCATGAAATAAGGAAATGTTTAAACAATTATATTTTCAAAAAAGGGTCAAATTTTTTCTATGAATATTGTCCTCATATGTATCGATGAATAGTAAAAAGTTGTACTGGTCTCCTTTTTGACAACATATCTCACTGTGTGTAAGCGACATCTAGTTCTAAAGAAATAATCAGCTTGTAATGCTGTTTGTTAATAACTTATTCTATAAATTTGAACGGTAAAATTTGCTATAATTGCCCTGATATATCTGTCTCTGAGTGTAGATGTCCTTACGATGCGCATACAGATAGTAAGTTTCCCTAGGATATCATCAAAGATAAAACTTTATTTCATGGGAAAACTTTATTGTTTGAGATTCAGCACGTATTGAACTATTTTTTGCATAATCGCCACTGGAATTGAGACATATAAGAATTGAAATCATGGGATCAATAGTTCTAACCCTGTGCTGTAGAAGCCTGCAACCTGGTATACAAGTAGGTAACTGTGTTTGGCAGTAACCTGCAACACAGCATCAGTGTTATATGCGTAATGCTGATCAGGCAGGACTTTTTTGCAGTGTAACAAAATATGGAAAGTGCGGGTAAAGAAATACAGACTACAGGATGGAAGGCGGAACACTTCCCAGCGAAATTTCCGCAGATGGACTGCTGTGAGCCAGGCTCCGTGTCACCAGACGTTATCGTGCAGAAAAACACATTGAGCATCCCGTGTCACTGGTTCTGAATGACCCAAATTTCTGTCCGGACACGTTAATAGTGATGCAGAGTTTCTGGCGGCTGTGAAACAGTTACCTACCCCAGGCCCCGGGAGAGGTGTCTCAGGGCATCAACTGATGTCACTGCAGTGCCTCTGACCGGGAGGTCCTAGGTTCGAGTCCCGGTGATGGCAGGATTTTCGACACTAGCTAGGTCGGATTCAGTCGCGGTCTGGAGGAGAATTCTAGCAACCAGCTGCTCCGATCGCTAGCTTTCGGTGGTTTCTTCGATCAACACCAGACGAATATCGGAGCACTACCCTAATCAATGGGCCATGGACCGCGCGCAACATTTCCTTCCTCTTCCTTGCACTTTCCTCACTCCTTACTTGTACACACATACACTTACATGCAATACACCACCACACATGCCGGGAGACCAGGCGGGATGTTAGCCTCGTCTCGGTTGGGGCGGTACCCCGCTGGTGGGAGATTCTTGGTTGGGAAAATCCTTCTAGCCGACGGTAGGTCGGCGCCGGATCTCGCCATCCCCAGGGGGAAGATCACAGCCACCTCCCGAGGAAAAAAAATGCACTGCACTTACAGGTTAAATGATTTTGGTAGTTGACGCGCCCGAAATCACAAACAATCAATCAATCCCAGGTGGCAGAGTTGTATGAAATACGGATTCAAATGTTGATCCCACAGTGTGGCAAATGTTTCGGTGATGATAGTGATAATGAGCCAAACAGTGTAACATCTGTTCAATTTGCTACAGTAAAGTGTTTGCATAAAATTGAATTTTCTTTTTGTTGAGTTAGTGAAACGTATTTTCTGGATACGCCTCGTATGACTACAAAAGTTTTTCTAAATGACTTTTTATATTTCCATATTATATATTTTTTAATTTAACCTCCGCCAACCTTTGCTAATAATTAGGAATGCCTAAGAAGCCCACGATAAGAATAGTTACATTTCACAATGACCAACAGTGTGTAGGCAACCATCTGGACAGGAATGTCGAGCGGGAAGGATAATGTCAAGGATCATACTTGGTACCTAGTTTGGCCATAGAGAGCAGTAAATGTCGCGAGTGCGGGATAACGCCTTCGTTTGTTCCGTAATGACGTTTCCAGTTGACATTTGACATACGGAAGGTGTCCACGCATATGGTCAGTCGTAAATGTAGTTCAGTTACTTCGATGAGGTAATATTGGATTGTGAGACGTTAGGCATTGTATGATTGTTCTGTTATGTTAATACCAGCTACTAGTGACGCACTTGAAAATCAGTTTCTTTTGATGTTCCACTTAGCGAGTTGTGTATGTTTACGAACATATGGTGTTCTTTTTCTTCTTGAAAAAAGAAGTTGGAATACGAATCTTCTAGTGGAAAAAAAGTGTTGAAATATGCTTGTATGATAAATCAATTATTTCTATTGTGAATGTTAGCAGTTTAAGTAAATCATGTAATATCACATTGTTTAAACAAATAATTAAAATATTTAAAATGTTGCAGGTTTGGAACTGTGTAAGGATGTTTATGCAAAGTTAAAAGATAACAAAAATGTTTTCCGCCCTAAAAAGATTAGCTGGAAAAGCTGATGGCCCTGTCACAGGGTCATCAACTGGCCCTAGTCATCATGCTATGTCCCATAGTTTACAGCGTCGATTTGCCCGAGGGGTGCAATATAATAGTAAGATATTGTCTATTTGTTTTTGCATCTGTAGTAATTTGAAATCATTTCTCTATGTGTACCATTATTTTCTATTACGTAGTGAAAATCATTATAAAAGGAGATAGAAATGTTGGCAAAACTTGCTTGTTTCAAAGACTGCAAGGTCAAAAGTTTGTGGAAGAATATATTCCAACTGAAGAAATTCAGGTATAGCTGTTTTCACTGTGATTATTTTAGTACCTTGTGTTACATGCATCTGAATTGTTCTCAAATATCCTCAATTGGTTAGGTGGCAAGTATCCAGTGGAGCTATAAAGCAACTGATGATGTAGTGAAAGTAGAAGTTTGGGATGTAGTAGATCGTGGGAAAAAAAAGAAGGCATTGGGAGGTCTCAAATTAGATAATACCTCTGCTACTGCTACTGCTGTTCCTGAGGAAGACCAGCCAGCTCTTGATGCCGAATTTTTGGATGTGTATAAGAATACAAATGGAGTGATTATTATGATGGACATTACTAAAAGTTGGTAAGTCAGAATAAAAGTAAATATTTTTTGGAAGAAAATATTGCAAATTCAATTTGTTAGTTTGATAACTGTAATTATGAAAATCTACATGAGTAGTGTTAGTCATATAAGGGTGTAGTTTGTAAGTATTTTTTAAGCAACTAAAATCCAAAATAATTCAAAACAAATTACATGCATGAACAACTTTGGCAAGTGACAACCTTTATTTGTTGCACTTTTACTATGCTATTGCATACTACCAATGATTTCTCTATACAGAGTTCGATACGTCCAATAAACTATTACTAAACAATTGTTTCAGGACTTTTGATTATGTGCAGCGAGAGCTTCCTAAGGTGCCAAACCACATACCAGTGCTCGTCTTAGCTAATCATTGTGACATGTCCCACCATCGCACTGTCACAGGTGACCATGTCACATATTTCATTGACACATTGAATAGGTGAGTGGAAAGCAGACAACTTTTATTATTATAATAATAATAATATAAAATTAGAATATAAATAGTTCATATCAATTCAAGAGTCAAAATCAAGCTTTCTATTATAAACAAATGCCTACATTTTCATAATCATTAGAAAGGAAAAGAATGAGAAGTGAAAGCAATATTGGAATCAATTATGTAAGTTGAGCATATTGAATTAATTCATTAATATAGAGAGATTACTATAAGAAAGGACCGCATTGATAGCAACTGCTTGGCCACTGCTGGCAATATTGCTGCAGATTATCTCAATTGACCCATTTTGTTAGCGTGTTCATTTAGAATTAGCTCATTTGTAAATTGCTTCATAACTATCTTTCGCAATGTCATAGACATGCATGGAATTCATTCATTTCCCGACCTGTCAAAGTGATCCTTTCTTAGATCAACTCCTCTGTAGTAACGAATGCATCAAACTGAAGCTGTGAAAAGCAGCTTCAATATTAAGAATGAAACCAAAACTTATTTTTTCATTAAAGATTTTGCTGTGTCCATAACAAAGAGAAATGGGTTTCTCTTTTGGTTTCTCAAAAATATTGTTTGAGGGATTTTTCAAATACCTCTAGAAGATAAGATATTATCTTTTGTTTGATTGAGTGCCACACTCCTAAAAGAAACTATTTCTTTTTAACTCTTCAAAATTATTCCCAACAGTTTCAGAAGAAACTGAACATCTGTTAGTAAGAACTTTGGTAGTATCTAGTTCAAACAAAGTAAATAAATAGAGGTTTTATTAGGCTGTGTTATCCCTATGGCCATAGGACACACTGACTGAGGTTGCTCAAGGCATCAAATGATGACACTGAAGTGTCTCTGTTCTGGGATGTCCTAGAGTTCAGAGTCTCATCAGTGGTATTTCAACACTAGCAACCTAGGTCGAATTTTAGCTGCTGTCTGGAGGAGATTTCTAGTGTGTGTGTGTGTGTGTGGGGGGGGGGGGGGTGCTGCTCTGATAAGTAGTTTTCCATAGTTTCTGATCAATACTAGACAATGCCAGAGCAGTACCCTAATAAACAAGCCACAGACTGCACAGTCTTTTCTTCTTCTTACTTGTCCTATTCCTACCCCTCATTAATATACATGCATTTATGTGCACAACAATGCCACAAATGTTGGGTGTTTATCGCAGTTGGGGAAGTTCTCCACTGTCAGATATTCTTGGATAGAGGGGGCCTGCAACCCAAGTCAGTGCAGATCTCGCCATCCACTGGGGTGAGAATACTGTCCGTGACAAAAAAAATGCACTACTACACAGGACTAATGATCTGCCGTACTGTGCTGTTGACGTGCCCAGAAGCATGAAATAATCAACCAATCAGCATTAGGAGGCTAGAGAATTAAGAAACATTGGTTTGTTTAAATTAATTTACACATGATTGAAGAGTACACTTGTGCAGTAAATTGAATTGATATGTGCATATGTGTTACCAAATGCATTTCTTTCCATTTATAAAGTAAAGCTTCTTCTGAAATAGTGATTGAGGCCTCCATTGTCAACTGCATCATATATAATGAAGTTATACACTCCTGATAATGAAGTTATACGCTCAAGCAGACTTAATTGTACTAAACTGCATGAAGTAAGATTTTTACAGTGCATCCTCCACCATGATATGATATCAAAGTAAAAAGTTTTGTGTAAAATGCGAAACTTAAGTACAGGCCTACACTATCATTCATTTACATTTAACATACTGCTTTTTTTTCTTGCTTTTTGAATACATTTATTTTAGTAGTAAGACAACATTAAAGATATTATAGAGATATTTTTAAAAATATAACAATTTTATTATTAGCTATATGTAAGTAATTGAAAATAATGGAATTTTGAGCATAAAGGTACATTTTTTCCAATATTATTAAGGGTGCCCTGGACGGGAAAGGAATCAGTAAAAAAATTGTTTTATTAAAGTTCTATATTATTATTAATTTCCAAATTATTTGAACAGAAGATACCAAAACTGTTTGATATGTTTGAAATGCAGGGAAATAATACGTAAAAAAGGATACAAGGAAACTGCTGGATATGTGAAAGAATAGGCATTCTACTCAAGTCTGTACTTTGATGGAAGGAAAGAATGATGAATTGATGCGACACTGAAATTGTAGTAAGATAAACAGACAATACTTTAAGATGTCATGTATAAATATCCGCAAAATTGTGTTAAGTATTTTCTTAGTTAGAACAGCAGTAATAACCACTTTTGTGGAGATGGTATTAAGAAAGTTGTTATTTTGCATAATTTGTCTAATTGATTAGTATGGTCTGACTTCTTGCACATTATTAACTGGAAATTTTGTGCAAGGAATAGTTCGTGTAAGAGTGGAAGTAAAAGATGTCTTCACTGTAAAGGGATCTTTTGTTGCCACACATGTATTCTAGTCCGAAAATCTTCTTTGAGTTATCTGTACAATGTTCAAAATGCAGAAATGCAAACTATTATGGATTACCTGTAATGATTACAGAACTTGTCTTCCATAGCATAATGCTCAGAGATAATCCTTTGATGATGTATTCAATTTTAAACCAATTTTTACAGTTAACATATAGTTAACATTAGTTAACATAATAAATATTCTTGAGCCTTGTTAAAGTGCCACTGACAAGGGTAAGAAGGAATTGGTCTGGTAAGGTAGTTGTGAGCTACCTCTAGTTGCAAAAACAAAATAAAAGAATACCTTTAGAACAATAATTTAGATTTTAAAAACAAAAAAAAAATTGTTTCACCTAGTATTAGCTCCGTAAACCCATTAAATAGAACGACCACTATGCAATGATGTGCTTTTTACAGATTAATTTTTCAATGTCTTAATACTCAGAATATTTTTATGTACACTTTTTTTCCTTGTAAAAGTATTTTCTCATAATAAAATTTTTTTAACCTTTTTTATCGATTCAACTGTGTTCAAAAATTCCTTACTTTTTCCTCCCTTTTCTAAAATAATTTTTAATTTTTTATCAAATTATTTTGAAAACAATCTACTTATATGCTGTGAATTATTTTTATTTGAAAAATTTTTCAAGATTCAAGCATTTGACAATTGAAACTGAATTAATTGGGGGAAACAAATCATTGTGCCAAAGAAGGGTGGAGATTTTGAAGTTGTAAACAAATTGAATTAAAACACAAAAACACTGGCAACAATACAAAGTTGTGAAATGAAATTTCTGCGAAGAATAAAAGGATGCACAAGAGAAGACCGAATAAGAAATGAAGAAATAAGAAAAGAGTTACAAGTGACATCAATTAATACTAGAATGCAAGAATATAGACAAAGATAGATAGAACATGTGGAAAGGATGAGTGATAGCAGAATTCCCAAAGCAGCTTTGTTATACGCGCCGAGAGGAAGAAGAGACGTGGGAAGGCCACGAAAACGATGGAGAGAAACTGTGAGGACGGAACAGGCGGTAGCCTAATCCATGAAGAGAAGAAGAAGAAGAAGAAGAAGAGGGAGAAACAAATTGAAAAACTCTTATGTAGATCAGAATCATTGTGCAAAATATTTTACTTCATTGTACCTGAAGTCACTTTTACAAGACAAAGAAATCAGCGAAAATCATGAATTTTCAATAGCAGCAAAAACCTGTTGTGTTAAAGTAGAAGCTTCAAGCTAAGAGAAAAAGATGTATTTACAATCTCATTATTTTTTTTATTTTAATAAATAATGAAATTGGTGATGTGTATTACTGAAGAACATTGTGTAAATAACAATCTAGGCTTTTATGTTGAATTGTGATAAAAATAATTTTATTAAGTGTTCCTAAATGTAATGCAATTGTTGCAAATTCTATGGAGATTAATAACTTTGCAAGGCGTTGCTTTAATTAACACACTGGAAAATATCAAGCTGTTTAATGTGTACTAATATGTTCTTTATTTAATAATAAAAATTATTTGCATGTAAAAGCTTTGAAGCAATACCTGCTGAAGGTTGCTTACTTTAAATTAGTTAAGACTAGTTTTATACATTAATATAATTTTCCACTTTCCCGTGTATGTATGTATACATGGAGTAATATACCTAGTATAGGGAAAGATATGTAATTCTATAGAAAATTGATTTCAATGGAAATACACATTTTGCCTACCCTGATACTGAAAATGTGTTGCTTTTTTTTTCAACACGGCCGGCCGACTGTTTGGTGAATGTGAACAACACTAGCGTCTAAACCATGCAAAGGGTTTTTTTCCAAATTGAAATTTTGTGGCAATCTTAAAAATCATTCATTAGTTTTGGGGGGTACTTTACATGAAGCCTCTGGGAAATTTTCAAAATTTTCTCAAACATGGCTCCACTTTTTTTCAAAGGAAATTTCCATTGAGAACAAGAATGTATGATTCTTCAACATTCTTAAAATAATATTTACATTCTACTTTTAGGAAATCGAAAAATTTAGAAAGTTTCAAAAAAATGTACTTTGGACAGCGTTAGATGGCAGCAGGCAAGAGTATATATGGCGAGTTCAAATAGCTAGCCAAGACAATTGGAAACTAATATGGGAAAATCTTGCCATTCTGTGGCACAACAAGTGACATGAGAGTTCTTCGTTATAGCCTTGTAGTTTTACTGCATATGTTCTTTTTATTGAGATGATTCCCATAAAAGATATTTTTGTAATGCTTTAATGATAAATCAATATTTCTTCATTATATGTGTTAATATTACATGAAGTATAAGTTAAAATAATGCAGTGATAGATACAATGAATTGTTAATCCTGAAAACCTAAACTATCATTTTCCAGGCCTTCAGGATCTGCGCAAGTGAGATATGCAGAGGCTTCAATGCGCAATGGTTTTGGGCTGAAATTATTGCACAAGTTCTTCAATCTGCCCTTCCTGCAGCTCCAGAAAGAAACACTCCTTAGGCAACTTGAGACAAATGATGCAGAAATTCGTCTAACCAACCAAGAGTTGGATCTTTATCAGGAGAGTGATGATGCTGATTACAATAAGTGAGTGATTAAGTAAAAAATATTTCTAGCTTTCGTAATTTTTTTTTCTGGAAATTAATCTGGAAGGGCGAGATAAAACTTTTTACTTAGGAATGTTGATAAAGCATTAATGCTAAAATTTAAATAATAATTTAATTGATTCTTAGGTTTTTAGAACAACTGATGAACAGGCGGCGTCAAGTAGCTGATATGAGCTCAAGTGCTCTGACAGCTGCTGCAACTGCATCTGCTATTAATGGGACCTGCTCAGCACCTAAAGTTCCTTCACCTCAGCCACCAAGGATGATTCGCAACTCTCACAGTAGTCATCAGTTGCATCAACCATCAACTTCAACTCAGTCTTCATGGCAAGAAGGGTCTTCAACTCTCACTCGCAGTGCCACCATCATTGGTCCCATTGGAGGAGGCACTCCAATCCCTAATTTTAATTCAGTCATCGCAACAACTCCTCAGACAGGACCCAGCACCCCGGTAGCTACCACAAGTCAGTCTCCTGTTGTGAGCCCTGCAACTCGAGCTTCACCGAGTCAGGAACACCAAGGTGACACCCCACTGTCAAACAAACCATCAAGTTTTATGTCGAAAATATTTGGCAACAAGATTAGAGATGCCCAAGAGGATAATTCAGGTAAATATACCTATTTCAGGAGTTCTCTTTTTTTTGTATAAGATTTTCTGCATTTTTCAGAAAATAATTATTGAAGAAATGATAAAAGCAAGTAAATAATGTTTCCTGAAAGAAATTGTACCTATAGATTTACATTTTTAATACTTTTCTTGTAAAGAATTGTTCATTATGTTGCCTTAGTCTGATTTGTATGTAGTACGGACACTTTTTTCTTCCTTCTATTCATTAGTTTTAAAATGTCTGCTGCTATTGGTGCTTCATTGAGTTTCTCTAACTTGTTTTATTATATTTTATTTTTTTCAAACTTATTTAACATCAATAACAGTTAAAAACTGTGCGAGATGTGCTATTGGGAAAAGTGTATTCAGTGCATGTTTCCTTAAATTCTGAAATCTCTAACCTAAACCTGACCTCCATTACAAGTTGAACTTCGAATACAGGTGGAAATGAATGTTTTTAACAACAATTGATAAGAAAATAATGTTGATAAAAAAATTTTAAAGTTACATCAAACTATTGGAGTTACCTGCAGCTGGATGTAATCCTGAATTCTAAACTTTTTCTTTAAGTTTCTTGTAAAAGAGAACACCAGTTTGCATTACCTGAAATCTCAAGAGTCAAAAGTTAATTTGCAAAATTATATCAATTCTGGTGATGCAAAAACATGGTATTTAACCAGTTTTCAGTGGAGGATGTAAAGAAAATAGCCCGGTCTGAAAAATGATATTTGTTTGTAGACATTAAATTGCAATTTGATTTACGTCTCTTTTTATTATTATTATTATTATTATTATTATTATTATTATTATTATTATTATTATTATTATTATTACACACAATTTACACATTGAAGAAAAAAAATTGTCATGAACTGACCAGAAATTAGGCTTTACAGCCCGTTTCCATTGGTATATGACAGTATTGTTGTTAGATTATTATTCTTCCAAGTGTTCCTGCTGTTACCACCTCATTAGTGATCTGCCACTATCTCTGTTCCCTCTTGACCTGTACTTCCAGATTTTGGAAATCTGTTGTTCATTCTCTGTAAATGATCTTTTCATCTCCTTTGTAACTGTTCAATATAAAATAAGAGTGAAAATATAGTAGGTGTAAAGTAGATTTGGTTCATTGTTTACAAATATACTGTGGATAATTTTATTTGTTTACATAATACACAAATAAAATCTTTGAATTTACAATTTTGACTTCTCTTTTCAGTTTGTGTCATATTATTATATTTATTAGTTCATGTGCTTTAAATTATGTTATATAAAGTTATTCAAAAACTCAAACATTTTCTCAAAAACAGCTCCAGATATTTTTCTTTAAACTTTTCATAGAGCTAATTGCATCGTTTAATATAACATAAAATTAATTGTGGTGTTTTCTTTTGTTTTTCCAAAACTTACCCAAATGTAATTATTTCAAATTTTAAGACACTTAAATGCCATTTTCTTAAAAACAGCTCCAAATGTTTCAATGAAAATTCCCATTTAGGATGAGGTTGCCCTTATTTAATATTCAGAAAATAGTATTTTCGCTCTGTTAGGAAACAGAAAATTTCAAAAAATGTACTCTTGGCAGCAATAGATGGCCGCTGGTTGGATGGGACATGAATGTAAATTTTGTCCAGACCAAACAAATTAGAAAACCAACTTGTCTGTGTGTAATGAGAAAGTCTGTGCCATTCTGTAGTTCCACTGGTTACATATGGAACCCTATTAATAAAATAGTCCTTTAGCTATTCAAGAATTTTACTCTTCTATCCAAATTTTAACGATTTTATTAATAATCTATTCTTATCCACAGTTCCAAACACCATTTTTAAATATGGAAACATTTTACTAGATAATATCCTTCCTTCTCTTCCATTCTTTAACTGCTAATTGTAAAGCACTTTTGTAGAATGCCTCTCTCTTTATTCCTAGATTGATTTAAACACAAAATATTATTTTATTTGAAATGCACTTTGCACAGAATAGATTCAAATATTTTCTGAACACATGGTAAAATGTTGGTGTGTCTCAATCTTGACACTTGTACTATTAGGATAAATTTTGAAGTGCTCATAAACATGCTATTTTCAATGTTATGAACTTTACCTCGTTTGAATAGACATACCCACGGCTCATTCTGTATCCCCATTAACTTTTTAATAATCTAACTAATAACACACCGATTCACAGCCTGAGATCAACTATCCTTGTACAATTTTGCAGTGCATCTTCCATCTGCATCTTTTTCACCACCTCTATATCCACATTAACCTCTGTTCGAATGTTGCTAACCATACTTACTCATGAGGTCAATTTTAATGTCCTCAGTTCTTTGAGCGGCAATGAATCAATTTAACTTATTTTGCCATCACTGAGATTGATAGTCTCGCACCATGCCATCATCAATTATCATTGCACCGTTTTACACCTTCCCTTTGTCAGTGTCACCATTGTCTTCCACGTACTAGGCTTTATCATCAGTTTTCTTCTCATAATTATATCTGTTTTCTTCTCTCAATACTTCTAAAAACTGCTCTTTGTGCTATAGATCTTTCATGCATTATTCCTTCTCTAGGACATTGTGTCAATTAATCTTAAATCTTTTGTATGATTCATCCCTATTCTATTTTACTTTCTTGACTGTTTCTGTAAATCAACCAGAAATCTAATTGGAACTACATACTTTATCCATCTCTTTTGCATTTTCAACAGCTCTTTCAACCATGTCTAGAAACTTCTTACATTTTTCTTTCACTTCTCCAGTTTCTGTTTTCTTCTGATCAATGAAATTCATTGCTTCTTTTAGAACATCCACATTGATCTTTTATCTTCCTTACATTTATACATCTTCCTCCTAATACAAATTCATCCATGATCAGAAATTTATGTTCATTCGCTACCTAACACTTAGTTCTGGAACATTTGTTTGAGAAATTCATATCAGTAATATTACTCTACCTGTCTGTTACTCCAGTTGGTTCATTTATCTTTTGCTTCATCTCACATGACATGGCTATCCTATTCAAGATTTTTTATTCACTTCATTGAGTATATTTGAGTCAAAAGTAAAATCACCTATCACATTTGTAGAGCAGCCTTTCTCTACACAATCCCCATCCATTCAATAACTTATTGAAAAGTTATCTACTATCTGTAAAGATATCCGGTGATTCTTCGTCTTTCTTTTCAAATACTTATTTGTGTTCTTACACAAATAAGTATTTGTGCGAGTGTTCTGCTTTATGCTTTTTCCCTTACTCCTAAATGTTTTTGGTCATTTACATTACTAGAATTGTTATGTTGTGTCATCTCTGAATTTTGCTATTTATTTATTTTGGGAAATGGACTTGGTAACCCTATAACAATTTACCTTATTTTTGTCCTTTTCAATCTCTTTGTTAGCATCCATGATATCTCTAAATTATTATTCGTTATTTATGGCATTTAAATATGATTCTAATTCAATTCTGACATTTATTTTATTTAAATGACACATTTCAAAACAAAACAAAACAATATTTAATAAGTTTTTGAATGTGACCAAAATGGACTAATAATGTATAAAAACAATAAAAATGTAATAGAATGTTTTTGGCTTTGTTGCAGAAAGACGTCCAAGTATATTATCAACTTCTGCGAGTTCAGTTGCCACACCTGAACCTATTACTAGTGTTGAGGAGTTTGTACCTGATGGTGGTATGCTTGATCGCTCTTTTCTGGAAGATATGAACGCAGATCACACGTCACCTGCCCATCAGTCCAATCATGATGCTGAATCTGACAGGTATTTTGTGTTGTTTCATATTTTATGTAGAGGCGAAGAATATTCAAGTTACTTACACTAAATATTTACGATTTCAGTGAACCTGAAGGTGGAAATCCTTTAGTAGCTGGTTTCCAAGATGATTTAGATCCAGATGATCTGATACCTGTGAAGGGACCAGTGGAAAATTCTGGTAGTCCTCCTGTAGAAAATGATGTTATACTTCCTGTAGGGCTTAGTAAGAAAGAATCCTTGTCCAGCCTAAACGAAAATGAGGTGAGTACAGAATAAATTTAAAGAAAGAAAATATTGAATAAGATATGAATTCTTAAGTAACTGTAATTTATGAGGTATTCTGAATTTTTATAGAAGAACTATAATTTCACATGTGTTCATTGATAAAACTGACAACTGTAGCAGCAACTCTAATTGTCAGTTTTTAATGAAAATCTATTATACAATTTGATTCTTTTAGTTCAACTTAAAAGAAGAAACAAATTAAGAATTGGTATCAAGTTAGTTTTTTTTTGAACCATTAACAAAAAAAACTAATTATACTGTGATTTATCTAACTCTGCCCTGGTAGGTATCCACTGTTGACGGCTTCATTCAGTTGGGAGCTTGGACATCTCTATGTCTGAAGCTTCCAATTGGATGAAACTGTCAACTGCTGATATCTGCCTGGGGCAGAGTTCGATAAATCACAGTACAAAATGAGGAATTGTATCCACATTACATGTTAAAAAAATTAAATCAGAAATAAACATTTGAAAATTATGTTAGAGGAAACTACTACACTAGTATCTTTGTTTTTCATTCTGTTATCTAATACTAATGTAGTAACAACTTTGGTGAAGTTGCAGTATAGTGCCATGCATAGCAATTTCATCATAAACATGTATTATATTATACAATTCAGTAACACAGTTTTATAATGCATAATAATTTAGGTGTTTTGCCAGTTCAGACAATTATTACTGTATTTCTTCAAATAGAACTCAAATTCTCTCTATGGGATTAATTAGTTATAAAAATTAAGAAATTTTATTGAGAATTTTTAGAATATTTGCTACAAATTACTTTTAACCTGAAACACATGAGCAAGACTACTTTTTCTTGAGCAGTGTATTGATTCGAGGATATTACACAGTTTTTAATGCACCCAAAGGAACTTCATGTAATCACTTGCGAAAGAGAGATTTGTATCACCTGAGAGGTTTGTAAATTTTTTCTTGTTTTGCTGTTTTCAAACTGCCTGATAAACATTTTGTAATTGAGTTAATAATAATAAAAATGTTAACTAAACTCCTTTCTTGATAGTGCTTAAGAATCGGTATTTGTAATCGGTTGTTTGAAATTGAGAATTTTATTTCAGCAAGTGGAAGAAAAGGAAGATAGAGCCGATCCAGAGATCACCATACTGCAGATGCGCTGGACAATTGGCTGGGGGAGGGATGGGGGCGCGCTGGGGGAGGTGCTCTCCGGAGGGGGGCAGTGAGAATGAAGACAACAAGCATGTCCACTTGGAACTCACAGCATCCTCTGCTACCCCGGTCGGGGGGATCTAGTCCCACTCCATCTACCAACACCAAAGAAAAAAAGAAGAAGGATAAACATAAGGAGAAGGTGAATTAAATAAAAGGAGAAAGAATTAAGAAAGGAAAAAAAGGGAAAGAAATTAAGAAGAAGGAAATTAAATGTTTATTGATAACATAAGATAAATGATATTTCTTTTCCTTTACTTTCTTCTATTGACTTTCTCGAATATGTATGTATATACAGAGTAATATAAGTAGTATAGAGAAAGTTATGTAATGCGGTGGAGAAAATCGATTTTGAGATTGCGATGGGAATATACTTTTTGGAGTATGCAAGTGTTTTGAAAAATATCTTTCCCATCTCTAACTGTCCATCCATCTGTGAACAACACTACTGTCTAAACTATTCATAAGGTTTTTCCCAACATCCATATTCCACAGTCAATTTGCACGACTCCAAGCTCTTTTTTTTTGGCACAACTCCAAGCTTCCTACAACTACAAAATTGACCTTGGAGATTTTTCCTTCAAATGAAATTTGTTCTGCTTAATAAATCGGCAAGAAAGGAAAATATTTTCACTAGCAAAATCATAAACAGAAGCTTTTTTTCACAAATTTGAATTGAGTGCATCTAATATAGAAATATATACGATTTAATCCTAAATTTATCTCTTGAAGAGAGTTCCTCTGGCATCAGGGTCAGATGAATTTTTGTAATTCCCTTGCCTTTTCTTCTTCTTCTTACCTTCCAGCAGGTCTATTCAGGATTTGGCAATGTGGTTTTTGCTTGTTGCTCAAGTGCAACAAAATATTTCCTAATTCCATGAAAAATATCCAAAAGTGACCTGTTCCAATTTGCACAACTGCTAAGTAAAATATTAAATAATAATAAAATAGCTAAATAAATTACAACAAAAACTCTTTCTACAACATAACACAGTATTGCTGCTCTTTTCTTATTTCTTCCTCTAGCTTTGAAGATAGTTTTCCCTTGTGCTCTTGTTAAGTACGTTAACATTGCATTCCTATGATTTTCTGAACTTTCATGAGTTTGAATGGTAGCAGAGTGTTTCTCATTAGGTGTCTGAAAAAAATTATGTATATTTATATTATTTCAATATTATGTATATTAAAATATTCATATTATTTTCTTGTACCCTGTTTGTATATTTGTGTTCAGTAAGTTGCTCTTAAATTATTTCCATATTTCCTCTTTGAATTGGTGCAATGGCCATGTCCTTACATACAACATGCTGCATTGCTTGCAGTTGAGTAGTACTAGTTGGCATATGCATGGTACCAGTAATTGGTGTTAGCTTCTTTGCCTCATACTCTTGTAGCTTCTTTTTCTTGTGTTTGCAAGCGCCACTTTCAAATATTTTACTAATCATTGTTAGATTAGAATGTAGAACAAAATATTTGAGTCATTAATTATTGTGCATAATTATAGTCTTTAAGGACTCAGCCAGAAGATGTTGAGTAGTTACTCAACACCTCTAGCGCTCCACCTTCCAAACTTGTCTTAAAGACTAATTGAGAGGACTTGTTAAATAATTAACTATTTTTTTCCTCCAAAATATGAGTTGGCTTAGATTTTGCATAATTTTGAGTGAATTAAAGTTCTTTTTTTGTTTTGTTTTTAATGTGTAAATCATACTTTCTCAAACAGCTTCAATATTTTTCTTTAGTTTGTTTTTCTCAACTGGAGGAAGTTTCTTGATGATGAGGTATAGATCAAACTTTCATTATAAATTCTGGAATTTTGAAAATTTTGAAGTTCAATGCTTTTCTTAACATGTCTTACACTTTTAATATTAAAAGCAGTCTTTATATGTAATGTAAAGATCCTCACTATCATGTCTTTAAATCATTTCATGCTAATTTTTCTTTCTTTCCTTTTTTTCCAAGTAATGAATATTATTTCGTTATGTTCAACAGTAGGTCTTTATATATAATTAGTCATTATCTACTGTCTACTTCCACAGCACAGGAGCTATAGTACTCATGTGCTAAACTGATGGCTAGAGGTTTGTTTCCACTGTTCCATGGAGAAATTTTCAATTTATAAAAAAAAGTTTTTCCTTGAGTAGATCAAAGTTTTCTTATAAATGTTATAGAAGTCTGATTTTCATTAAAACTTGTGAACTTTTGAAAATTGCAAATATAAGTCTCACATGCTTCTTTTGCTGAAGAGTGTGTGTTTCACAAGACAGGCAAAAAATTAGTGGGATACAATTTGCATTATCACAGTATTGTGTATCTGCTACAAATACAAGTAGACAGTATATGCTGTTATAGTACCACTAGTTTTTGTTTCCTGAAAATTAACATATGTGGAAATCAGAGAGCTGATGTAAAATGTATCTGTAAGTTGTATTAAAGTTTTTCTGTTTCATGGAAAATGAAGTATCAGCTGGATTTCTGCAATATCATTGAAGCTAGTTGTTTAAAATTCCATTTGTAGGACTTTTCTCTTTTAATCCATTCAGCTTAGATTTTTTCCTCCATTGCACGAGCCTTCTCCACAGATTTTAATGTGTCATTCTAACAGTACTTCAATTTCAAAATTACGGAAGGACTGGGAATGAGAACACCACATTTCAACACAGTCAAGATACACACCAGAATAAACCATAATTAGAAACAAGTTACATGCATTTTGTGTAGGACTCCACTTTCAGTGACTAGTACTGTGTATGGAATCCACACTGCAGACCCAATACACTCATGTGCGTCTCCGAGAAGTCAAAAGACAGTAAGGCTATTCTCCGACATGACATCATCTGGGAGACATCAAATGATGCGAATGGATTAAATATTTGTGCTCTATTTTCTTGAAACAGACAAGAACCTTTAATATTGTGTTTTAAAAATTACCAGTGTTAATTTTTTTGTCAGAAATTCTTATTTAGTTTGTAAAAATTTATGATTTTTTTTGGCCAGGGTGAAGAGAAGAAAAAACATAAAAAGAAAAGTAAGGAGAAAGGGTCCGGAGATGGAATTGAAGAAGGGAAAAAAAATAAGAAAAAGTCATCTAGCTCGGGACATAGACGATCTCGAGATGAAACATCAAAGCATAATGAATTAGAAGAGTTTCTTAACCGGCCATCAAACTTTGGAGATGAATATGGTGGTGTAGACCCAGCGTATGAGGCCATTTAGCATCTACTGGCTAGTATTGTAGGTGGGTACAAAATACACATTTTATGTGCTTATGATGTAGAAGTATTTTCATTCCCTTTTGTATATGCTGATCTTCACTTTACCATCATCACTGTTTCCTGTTTACTCTTAATTTCTATGTACTGTAAAATTAAATCTTTAAAATTAAATCTGAATACATGAAATTGATTATTAAATGCATTTTTTATTTTTATTTTTGAAGGACATCGTTGGGATTGCAAGTTCAGGGATGCAACAAATGGTTAGGAGAAAGTTCAACATCATTGAGATATGCTTATCTCAGACTCTTCCTAGTGATGTGCTAGGTTTATTGAATCTACTTGTTCATGTGTCTGTACAAACTGGCATTTTCAGTTTTTTATATATGTATACACAAATGCTTTTTTTATTATTATTTTATTCTCATTTGGTTTAAAAACATGAACATATTTGCATTAGACCAAGAATGATTTGCAATGTTATTACATTGTGAGTCACATCAATAATATAGTTTTAATTCTCACTCTTTATTCTGTTCCACATTTTTGTGAAATTTACTGTATTATTGACTGTCCTTATTGAAAGGTCAGGTACAACAGTGTCTCTGAACAATGGTCATTTGATGAAATGTGAAAATATGGCCTTAGTAGTTTTGTTACAGTTAATTCTTACTCTGTGATGTAACAATTGTATATTTCCAATAATATTTGTGATCTTAAATTTTTATATTGTAGACAGACTTTAATATTAGTAGTGAAATCTTCTCAGCTATAACTTCATTCTTGTTCTGCATATTTTTGTGTATTGAAATAGTATATTTATAGACATGTGATATACCGAAAAATTGTTAGTTGTTGAGTGTTACTGTGTATAATCCTGTGGAATATTTTTCCATTCATTGTTTTCATGCTAATGATGTATAAATGTTAAAAATTGCCTGTTGCTGTTATAGAGAATATCAGAGAAAAGCTTTGACTGTTATGAATGTGTTTATGGTAATTGTATTTCTTCAGGCATCTTTGTTTCATCAATTTAATCTTCTCCATTCAGGAGAATGAAATCACCTTCTATATGACTGCCACTTTCAAATATCCACCAATATCTAATTCCCTTGAAAATGTCTTGGGAAGATGGCAATATGCTATTCAACTATTTTTATGCTGCTTCCACTTGCCTCCCAAAGCTTCATATAATTGAAAAAATTAATACACTAATGTTATTTGATTAAAATTCATTTAGCAACTTAAACTGTGTTATATCAAGGTGTATTATTTATATTCTTTCCATGGATAGGCTAAGTATTTTCATTTCTTTACAAGCTAAACCTTCAGTGAGCAAATATTTTATTATGGTGAAAAGGTGAAGTCAAAATATGATTAATTGTCACAGTTCCCTCCTCTTCATAAACATATTCTCTCTAACTTTTTGAATGAGTTGGATGGTTCAGTTTATCTCATTTTGGATTTGAAGACTGTTTCAGAATAACGTAAATATCTAAACAAAATATATCATAGATAAGAGCCATCATGTAATCATATTTTTTTCTTTCAAATGTAGTGAACTGGATGACGTGTACAGAAATTCCTACTGTTGAAATCACTTTCACATACTAGGAGCTAGGATGAGTGTATTTTTGTTGTGACTATGCTTCTGTCAAAAGTAAGTGATAGAATGTTCTAACTTCATGAGGTTACGAGACTCTTGCTTCCTGACCAAATGCTTGTGTATGAACAACAAAAAGTTCTGTCATTGATTGGAGTTCAAAATATATTTGGCTCTTTATTTTATTGCTCTTCCATATCCTACGATGTGCTTCAGTACAAAAAATCTTTTATTTTCTCTCCCCCACGTATTCTCAGCTATCTTCCAACATTCTTACTTGTTTATTGCACCTCCTTGCAGTGCTGTGTACATTTCCTGGCCTAATGTTTTCAGAACAATTAGTAACACATCCAGGCTGCCACAAGTCTCACCAACTTGTAAGAGTGGGAACTTCTTGATCATGGATAGCTTTGCTTTCCTGGATTTAAGGATTTTAGGTCTCTTGAACATCTGGCATGGGCAATATTCCTAGCTCTCGCTCTGAAAATTAAACTCTTTATTGGGAATATTGAAAACTCTTTTGTAATATGCAATTCAAAAAATGGCATTTAATTTAGTGTCGAAGTGAGTAAAGTTTGTAAAACACAACATAGAGGTCAGGGTTGCCTAAAAAACCTAAAATGGTTCTATCTCCACAATTTTATCTGTGTTCTGATTCAAAGTTTGTCATTTTCCTTTGCTTCATAGCAATCAGGTTTACTTGTTGGCATGAGTACTGTATGTCTGTAATGTAGCTTTGCATACATTTCAATTTGTGCATTCTGTTCAGACCCTCTATTTGAATTTAACTCTTTTAGTGCTTGAACAGTTTTTGTTGAGCTATGTGAATTTTTAGGAATTCATTTTTTCCAATGATTTAAGAAAGTCTTTTTAATTAGTTATTACTATTTCAGCTACTACTCTCTTTGTCAGTAAAATTCATCATTTAAAATATTTTTCAAGTATTAAATTCTTTACTATTGTGTCATCAAATATAAAACGCAAAATTGCTTTAATAAAAATACAAGAGTTTGCAATCTCATTTTAAATTTTTAAAAATCTGCATTATTCAAATGTAAACTGAAAGCAAATATTTCTTTGGCTGAAGTTTCACATTTTTATTTTAGATGAAGTGAATAACTTTTGTGAATATGTTTTTATTTGTTTTTTTAAAACGGATATTTTTTTCAAAAAGTTAATTTTTTCAATTGAGTTGACACACGATGTGGAAGGGAAAGCTAATTTGCTTTATAAAAATGAATTCTGCAAGTCATCCAAATTAAGTGTGTATGATAGTGTGTCATTTGAATCTAACATGTTCAGTATATCAGTATTCTGTAAGCATTTAGTGGTTCAGATATCTTAATGGAGGACTTATTTATTTGTTAGTATGCGTACTAATCCATGAGAAATCACAAAACTTATGTTCTTCATCTTTTTTAATACCTGCATTTTGTTAACAAATGGATTCGTAATAAACATGAGTGTTTTTTTAAAAATGGAATATTTAATATTTTGCACAAATGGATAAATACATTCCCTTTATTGTATGTAACAAACTTACTAATTGCAAATAACAAGGTATCTTTAAGTGGCTTAAGTTTTAACTTCAGGAAATGCTGGAAATTGATCTACTTGCAGATGTTTCTTTTTTGGTCTCGTGTTAAAAGAAATATTTACTGTAAATATGATAGTAGATTGATTTAAGTTATAAGTTCATTAGAATATATTTAATCTTGATGAAATACAGAACATCAAAAGTTTGCCAAAATTATTATATTTAAAATGGGAAGTATAAAATAGTATTTCTGGTTTCAGATGAAATGTCTCGTTAATATTTTATTATTTTAAAACACATTGTTCAAAATACAAAAAAGTCCTACTCTGAAATCGCTAACAGAATTAATTTAGTATTTGCCTGAGCTGCAATTCACACAAATTTGGTTTTCTCATGTTGACTTTTTTGCTGTATGAATCTCTTTCCTCAGAAGTGAATGTTATCTTTATGTACTCTTTTTTTTATGACAAATAACATAAAGTGCAAAGCTATAGTTGTGTATATTACAATTTTGTATGATGTTATAATGTGGGTAGTTATATATAACATAATTAGAATATATTGTACCATGAATCCAAAGACATACAATGTAAACTACTGGCAGTATATAAACCAGTGTTGTGATTTTGAACAAAACGTGAATAAACATTTATGGGGCAACTACATAATGAATTAAAGAGAGATATTGGTTATCCTATTAATTGGTAATATTTACCATTGTATGCATGTGGTCTTGTATATATGTTGTAAAAATGTGAGGTATTCTTCTTGTATGTTCTGGAATAACATTAAAAGTTCCTTTTTGTATATATTTCTAATTTGTGGTTAATACATGTTCATTCTGGTTTCATTGAATTTTCAATTGCATGAAAGGCTATTTTATTGTACCAATTGCAAAAATTTTAAATGTTTTCAGCATCCTCCTCCCAACAATATTCTTAAAAATAGAAATTGTTTTTCCTAATTCACTCTGTTCTTCAAAATTGGATCTTTAAATGAGGTGTGTGTATTTTTAAATATATGAATTGTTTTAGGGTAATTTTGAGAGAAATTGTGACTATTTTTAAATATACATTAACAAGATTTGCTCAAAATCTTTTTTCCTTCATTTTCTAGATCCAATAGATTGATGTGCATGTAATAATATGAATATGTGTAATTTTAATTCAAACTTCTGGAAATTCCAAAACTGCAAAAATTCAAAATTATTTTGATAGATTCATTCAACTATATTATTTTAGATCACATCACAAATTCATAGCATTACTAATTTGCTTTTTTGTATTTTGGGACAATCAAAACACCTTATTTTCAGCAAAATATTTATTAATACAGAAGAGATGAGCAAAATATACATAACTTTCACATACTTTTTGTCAAAAACGGCTCCAAATTTTTTATTTAAGTATTTCCTTTTGAGTGTGCTAAATGCACTGAATAATGTCATATAAAAGTAATTTTGATGTACTTATATGTTTTTGCAAAAGTTACAGAAATGTAATTGTTTCAAATCTCTCTCACATTGTTAATATTTACTATAGTGTATAGTATGTATTAACCCAGGCTTGCCAACTCCGTGCTCTGTGATGTCAAAAATATGCTCGCCTACTCAGAACCAGGCTGGGGAGCAAAGGTAGCGCCGGACAATGTTTCAATGATGGTACGGAAGGAGGGAGGGCGGTTCTCTCGATAATTACGTTTTTAAATGAGTATTATTAAAATGTTTAAGATTCAATAAAAATATGAAAAATTTTTTAAAAAATTGAACGTTGATTATTTCGTAACGCAAAGCAATATTCAACTTATCGTAATTAGTACAGTAATTCCACTTCCATTCTAACACACAGTATTTTTGGAGATGACAGTTTTAACATTCTAATGGAACATTTTATACAATGTTATATAACAGAACAATTTTAGTTTGTCCCGAACCAATAACACAGGCACACAAAATAAAAAAATTGTAAATAAGTAAAATGAAAAGACCAAAAGACTAGAAACATATTTTTCTATGACTGTCAACGCGCTGAAGCCGAATCAGAAACTAGAATTGCGCCACCACCCTCCAGTTTATTTTATTCGCGTTAAACCACCGTGACATTGTATGTTTTTAGTTTCGGGGGTTGTCTGATTTACGACTTGACGCATGTTTGTGTACGTCGGCGCTCTGAATCCGAAGCCAGAATTACGTCAACATCGTCCATATTTTTTCATTGCAAAAAAAAACAATTTTATTATTTAAATTTACAATATCACGGAGGTTTTTCGCGAAAAAAAATTGGAGGGTGATGGCGCAATTCTGGCTTCGGAATCGGATTAAGCGCATCAACATACTTTGAGAAGCACATGTCAAATCTTTGAGTCTGAAAATACCCCCCCCCCAAAAGGAACAAAACAAAAAACATACGATGTCACGGTGGTTTTGGAAGCGAGATTTTGTAATGGCGCAATTCTGGCTTCTGATTCGGATTATCGCGTCGGCTTATAAAAATATAGAGAATATATACAACCTCGGTAGATGCCCTGAATCCGAAGCCAGAATTATGCCGACACTGTCCAGATATTTTTCATTGAAAAAAAAAGTACAATGTCACGATGGTTTTTCGCGATTAAAAAAAAAACTTTGGGTAATGGCGAAATTCTGGCTTCAGATTCGGATTCAGCGTGTCGACATACATAAAGAAGCGCGTTTAAAGTCTTTGAGTATTTTTTATTTTATGTGCTATGTATTCCATATGCCATTTGTATTCCATGTTGTAAAGGTTAACAAATATATACCCGTGAGAATTTGGACCCCAGACTTGAATATGTATAAGTACAGTTTTGTTTGAGATTGTGGTGAATTCTCGTGATTTTCAATTCTTTTTCCTTAATCATCTATTTGAGAAATCCTTTTCTCATTCCATGATTGCAGGCTATTAGTAAATTCTCATAAATTATTTTCATTATGCGGGTTTCTCGGAGTTGCAACGCTGCGTAATAACTGTCGGTTGAACTCGTTAAGATACTGAAGTTCTTTCGAATACACTAAACACCATTGTCGTGGTATCCATAAAAGGAAACCTTTCTTCCCAAACCGAAAGAAATTTAACGGTTGAAGGTGGTCTCCCACTTATGTCCCTTGAAACACCGGGCCACTGGTTTTCGTAATCGAAAAATGTTCCAATTTTTTTTTCTTTAAAGTTAGTGTGCGGATAATCCTAAACGCACCTAATAACACGACATGAATGCTACTTTCCTGTATTCTTTCGTTCTTTTAAAAAAATACACAAAGTGCGTGTGTTGTGTATGTGTGTGTGTGTGCGTGCGTGCGTGCGTGCGTGTGTGTGTTATGTGTGGTGTATGTGTGTCGTGCGTGCAGTGCGTGCGTGCGTGTGGTGTGTGTGTTTTAACGTGCGCAGGGAAAATCTTTAAAAGACACAGCGGGGCCGCAACCGCAGCGTGTGGGTTCATTAGCTAGCCTATGCCTACCACACTAAAACCCCTACCTTTCCTCTTTCTCTTCCCGCGAAACCGCCCGTCAGGCATTGGCATCGCGAGAATGGAAGGATGGGCTTTCGCACGTCACCAAATATTACGGGAGTCTCCTTCGGTAACTGCGTCCTCGAGCGGAGCGTCTTCAGGACCTTTGCGGCTAGTCGGCTACCGCACTCACAATACTCTTTGTGTCAGCAGCATCCTTAGTGACGATGGTCTCAGGGTCAATTCCTCTTGGAGGAGTCTGTGAAAGTTCTTCCTTTTCACTGCGCAAGCGTGGACAATGACAAGAACAGCGTGTGTCTACTCTTCACATCACCGGGACAACACTTGGCATGAGATGCTATCGTCAACCGGCATCGGAGCTGATACTGCCGGTAACATCCATGCCCTGTCGCATCTGAGTTAAGATAAAAATCTAATTCTTCATGTTCCCTTTGAAATCAGTCATGATGTCGGGAATAGACCCCGAAAGTCCATCGCCTCAGTTGATGATTGCTCCATCGTCGTCCATATTGCGTGGCCATTGTCACCCCCCTCTCTTCTTTCGTTAATGGTATTCCAGTTTGAGGCCCCCTCCCGCTTGCGCAATAGAGTCTAGCTCTCTCCTGCGCAATGAGGTCGATCGGAGGCATATCTGCTAACACACAACAGTCATAAGGATACGGTGCGAAAGCGCTCGAGCAACCCGCAAGGCGGACCTTCTATGCACCGACTTAGCTCCACGGCGTATGACTGATTGCCCATGGCATCAGCCCAACCAGGGGCTGCGTAGAGAAGAATGGAATTTACTACGCTAGTCAGCAGCCTCCGGCTTCTTTGCCCAGGTCCCCCTACATTAGGCATAATGCGTGCCAATGCGGATGCCATAACGGATGCTTTCTCGGAGACATTGCGCAGGTGCTCGTCAAAGCGCAGTCTCGCGTCAATATGCACTCCCAATACCTCAGTGACAGCTGCGAGGATATTTTGCAGCTCCTACATTAAGAGTAATACTCTCTACTCTCACTTTTCTGCCCGTTCACCAGCACAGCCTCTGTTTTATGGGCGGCATCTGTAGCCTTACGACGTAAGCACGCGCCGGACTCCGCCACACCTCGTTGGCAACCTGGCGTGACTTGTTTCGATGTATTTTTGCCGACAACAGACAATTGCAACATCGCAGCGAATCCAATCGTTCTTGCGCCTTCCGGCAACTGAGCTTCAACACGGCGTCATAAATAATGTTCCACAACATCGGACCAAGTACCGGCCTTGTGGGACACCGCCTGTTTGACCGTATAAGATTGTACTCCAGACCCAGTTTTCATATAGGAGGACTCTCTCCTTAAAGTAACTTTTTACCAAGTACGAGATGTACCTTGGAACTCCAAGAGTTTGTAGCGCAGAAAGAATGGAGCTCCACTTGCAGTGTTAAAGGCGTTTTTTCAAAAGTCTAGGGTCACTATAGCACAATACTTCATAGGACGCTTTCCATCGTTGCCTTCAATGGCCTTGCGTGGCGATGTCGATGACTACTTAATAGCATCTACCGTGGATCTCTGCTTTTCTAAAGCGCACTGATTATCAGACATCCTTGAGCCCCTCTGTAAATGACTCCAATACGATTGCAGATAATCGCTCCATCACTTTGCCTGCTGTGTCCCAGTAAGCATATTGGCCGATAGGCTGCGGATCAGTAGGTGCCTTATCGTTCTTCGGAAGAAGGACTAAGCTGTTGCTGCTTCCATCGACGGGGAAATTCCCCTCTCGTATGCATGCATTATATGCGTGCAAGAATAAGATCGGGCCGAGTTTAATAGCGGTCTTAATTGCTACATTTGGTACCCCGTCTAATCCGGGGGCTTTGCAATCTTGGACCTTGCCGCAAGCTCTGGAAAGTTCATCCAACGTGACTGCCGGAACCTCGCTTAGATCTTCCAGACAATCCTTCGGTTGTAACATATCAACTGGCGAGGAAACAAGGTAGCTACAACTTTTTCCCAAGAAAACGGGCAAGTGGGTGGTCGCCTGAACATACCCCTGAGTCTGGCGTCACCAGCTATAACGGGCGTCCCCAGGGGTCAGCATCCACTTCCTCCCCTAGCTCTCTCCAGCAACGACACTTACTAATCTTAATGGCTTTTGTGAAAGCTCTTCTGGCGTCCAGATGTTGCTTCTTGAGAAATTCGTAGTTTGGGCGACTCCAGGCGCGCTGTGCCAATCTACGTGTTCGGTGACATTCCCTGCGAAGTTCCGCGATCTCGTCAGTCCCACCATTACAACTGGAGGACGTGTTCTCTCCTTGGACCTTTGTCATTGACGCATCACAAGCGTCAAATACCGGTTCATAACGGTTTCTACAATATATTAGAGTCACGGGCCAACATATCTCAGGGTTGCCTCCATCATGGCAATGAAGGAATCACGATCGAACGTCCTGTGTTCCAAAACAGCTTTCCTTCTACCCCTCGAGTGAAGCTCAACATGCACGGCTCTTTTCACTTCATACACAATAGCTTGGTGGTCACTATGTGTATAATGTGCACTAACCTCCCATGATACAAAACGTCTAGCAATGATTTTACAGACGAAAGTTAGGTCAACGACCGAGCTGCGACCATTCATTACAAAGGTCGGACTGGCCCCCGTGTTGCAGAGGCAGACATCCAAACTGTCAAGGCTGTCCAGGAGAGCCACCCCGCGTCGATTCGTTACTCTGCTGCCCCACTCCGTGGCCCATGCATTGAAGTCCCAGCAATAATAAGAGGCCTTCGTTCTCTCGCGTCATCTATTAAGCGATCGAGTAATTCTCGAACTCCTCAAGCGATGCACTGGTGCAGCATAGACACTATAGAATATACACCGAACCCTTTGATCCAGGTGAATCCATCCTTGGGACTGTGATAACATCCTGGACTGGACTATTACACATATCCATACTGCAGCTCGGTTAGTCGCATCCGAAAACCCAGGACTGAAGACCGACAATATTTCTGTACTGCTCGCAGAGTATTGCAACATCTATATTCATCTCGCGCACCGTCTGGGTGAGAAGGTCCTGGGCCGCCTCGCAATGATTTAAATTTAGCTGGGGAACTCTCATTTCTGTTATCCGTTGCCTTCATTGATACTTGGTACGCCGGACACGTGAAACTCCCCATCGGGTGGTTCCTTTATCTTGCAGAGCACACACCTCGCCTCAGCGCTTTTGCAAGCCTGACGCAAGTGGCCGTCTTCTTCCGCATCGGTGACAGGATTTCGACCTGTCCGCCCCTTGGCAGTCGCGCGCCAGATGTCCGAACGCCAACAACGATAACACTTCCGCACAATTACTTTCTCTCTAACGGCGGCAGTTTACCCACCCAATGCGAACACGGCCGTCCTCAATGCCCTCCTGGCTAGTTCCGTCGGTAGACGGACCCACTGCAGTTTGTGTGCCTCTGTAAGCCCTCCGTACGGATATGACACTTGCTAGCTCAACAGGCGATTTAAGTTCCCTGCTTACAGCTTCACAGACTTCGGCGCCGTTGTCAACTCGTCAAGGTCGTGAATCTCGAGAGTCGTTTCGTCTCCCCGCGTCGTTACTCTTGCTAACTCGCCCAGTTTTTTGGATATAGTTCAGATATCTCGGAGGCTGCTGCAGATTTCCGCAACTCCAGCAGCAGGTATCCGGCTGCATTCCTCCTCACCTTTGCGACGTTCTCACAGCATCTTTCAGAGATGGGTCGCCCTTGATCTGCCTTAGAAATATCTGCATAGGAAGGGCCTCCGTCATTTGCCTTAACAATAACGAGTTCGGGGCGATAGGAGTGCGGCTTCGGTGGCCTCCGTCTCTTTCTCCCTACGACATGCCAATCCATCTCATGATTTTGGTGTGGTGTCTCATCAGACGGTTTGTGCAGTGCCTGAGGAACTTCAGCATGTTGAATGTTCATTCCCTGCACCGACTCTGATAGCTTCTTCTCTGCCACTTTCGTAGATTTCAGCGGTCTCTCTTTCCTCGACGAAGTTCGTCCACCGCCTACTGTGGTCCGCAACTCCGCCGCCGCTGTCAAGGGCCACCACAATCATCAATTCGGCCAATATCAGAAGTCTGTGGTGAAACCTGCGTCTCCACCTCCACGTCCTCAGGCAAATCACATCATTAACAGCGGTTCGCAACTCCGCGCGAGGACCTACCACGATCATCAGAATTCCGGCCAACACTGACGTCATCGGCTGATTCCGTGTCCGCGCCTCAACAGTCTTCGCGCCAATTACATCGTTCCCCGTAGGCTGCACCTCCGCTGCTGCTGTCGATGGCCCTCCATAACCATCAGTATTCGGATCGACACCCCATGTCTGAGGTGAAGTCTGCGTCTCCGCCTCAACTGTCTTCGAGCTTATTACAGATAGTGACTCCTCCATGTCCACCATCTCATCAAAGTCAGATTCGGATGGAACTGACCATACGCTTTCTCCCCGTGAACATTATTCCTTGACAGGACAAAATGCAGGAGATTCCGATCTTCTTCCCCAACTCCAGAAACTTCACTCTCCTATTCTCTTCCCAGACACCACTTGTGAGCTTGGCTCCCCCCAAAATCCATGGAGCGGCACCGAACTATCGGGGCTTTCACCCGATCTGAATCGGTGGCGAGATTCGGCGTCAACGCTCGACTCGCTTGGGTAGTAAGTTTTGAGGCTCACTCATACCCATCACTGGTTTATTTTTCGGGGTGACCTTCCCTTAGCGTTTTATATGCTACCGCCACCGCCAGAGAGATGGAATTGGAAGGAAGGTGAGAAAGGGGATTTTCGTAGGGATAGGAAGCAAGATCCCATAAGCTACTCAGTCCACCTATTGGATCTTGTGGATGGGAAGGAAACTAGGTGGGAAAGTAGGATATTAGGGGGAAAGGACAGCGGACAGCTGCTCCTTTTAGTTCGCTTTTACGACAGGCGAGGTCCCGTGGGGCTATTCTACAAAAAACCCCGGAACCACACAGGGTTGTGTATATATATGTATATATATATATATTATATATAGTATATATATATATTATATATATTATATATATAAATATATATATATATACACACACAATTTCCATTAAATTAAAAATTAATTTGGACCTCGTTCCGGGATATAAGTACTTTTTTTTTAATTTCTCAATCTTCCTGTTTTCTAACGGTAGAATCAAAATATTACTTAATGAATATTAAAGAAGAGTAACATCTTGTCATGCAATGAAATTTTGTTGAGTCGTTTTGAAGAAAGTGGCGTTTAAGCGTTACTGAAAATGCAAAATTTAAAGCTTTTTTTCACAGAACTCTTTTCTCTTTTCAAAAAGCTTCAAACTTGTTGTACATTTAGTGATAAATGCTCTGTTTAATACGACATGAAGTTCATTTTGGGATATTTTTGTTTTTTTTCTTTTAAAAATTACGCAAATGTTTGTTTGTTTTTTGTTTTGTTTTAAATATCTCTCACGCCGTTAATAAGTACATTGCCAGCAAGTTGTAAACACTTCAGCATTTCTGAGTTAGGTAGCTTTAAATGACTTCCAATTAAAGTTTTTGAAAACTCAAAAATTTTCTGTGAAAATTTTGCATTTACAGTAACGCTTAAACATCATTTTCTTAAAAATGGCTCCAAATTTTTCAATGAAATTTCAATTGTTTGTTTGTTTGTTTGTTTGTTTATTTATTTATTTATTTATTTATTTATTTATTTATTTATTTATTTATTTATTTATTTATTTATTTCATCCATCCACCCATTCATTCATACATTCATTCATTCATTCATTCATTCATTCATACATTCATTCATACATTCATTCATTCATTTACTTACTTACTTACTTACTTTAATCTGTGGCTTAAACCGAAATTCCGCGGAGGCACTAGCATTTAAATAAATAACTTCCATTAATCCCCCTGAATTTTACGTGCCGGAGACTAGCTTGTTATGTTAAGTCCCCGATACCTAAGTTATAATTGACCACTGACTAAGTTATAATTGACTGAGACGAGACTTGACAGATTTTGTTAATTAATAGATTACTTCTGTGCAGTAGGTAATTGACGATTACTCCAAAAGCGCGGAGCGCTCAAGGCCCTTCAATAGGCTTGGAGACGCGTTGCGTCTAAGTTGACGCAACAATTTTTTTTTTAATATAAGAAGCACCCGATCCAACATGCGTCGTACGCCTTTTGAATTTGCCTTTTGAGTAATCGAATCGCCACTAACGACAATCTCGATCGATTATGCTGATCGAGTCTTCTTCTGACGATCCCGTCTCCCGATATTGGAGTGAGTGTGTGGGTGTGTATGAACAGTGGTTGGTTGGTGAAGGCCTCTACGTTTGGAAGGTTATGGCATTGTTTTATTACGTTTGAACATTAGCTGGAGAACTTGCGGTTCCCCCAGCATTCGAGGTCAGTTTATATTTGTGATGGCGAGTTGTCTCAGGACTGTGTCAAGTAAATTAAATCCTATCAATCAAGCCGTTTCTCGAAGAAAGCATGCTACCTTATCACGTTTGGAAGGACGACTTCGCATGCATATGTTGAAGTCACAGTTTTTAGAAGAGGTAAGAATGATGTCAGTTAGTGGAGTTATTATCGTCTTAAGCTACTAATTATTAGTGTGATGTAATGGACTGTCAACATTATGAATATGTATTTATTACGTTCAATTATCGAACTTAACCTTTATCTTCCTTACAGTTTCTAGATTCAAGAGTACGCCGAACCGATGTTAAACACTGTTCATTGGCAGTTTCGAATATTTCGCCTTGTGCATGGACAAGCCGTCATTGTTCCCCCGTGAATGTGGTAGAAGAATGTACCGGGATCGATGAACAGAAGCGCAAAGATTATTTTTTTAATGAACACGCTGACAGCCCGCCTGCATTATATTGTAGGTTACTTGAGATATCGCCAAATGCCGGAAGAACTCTACATAGCTACAATCCTATTATGGTAGGAGTGAAACCGTTTGAAACAACATCAGATGATATAATTTTATGGAAGGAAGATAGAACCAGTAGAAATGTTGATAGTGAAACCGTAGAAGAATTATATTCCGTTTATACATCTGGAGTTAGTATGAAAAAAGAACATATTGCTCTCTCAGATTACGAAAAACAAATGATTTTACTAGCAGATGGTGGTAATGAGAAAAATCAAGAACCACATCAAAATAATCAAAGACCAACAGAAGAGCAACTGGCTAGAGTCTTTCAAGTTTTAGGAGAAACTGTGAGTATATTTTAGGTACATTTTTACTTCTTATATTTGAATTGTGTAATTAAGGTAATTTAATGGTAATTACTTTTCAGCTTCCAAGTTTGTTCACTCAACCATTAGATTATTCAATCTACAATCCTAATCTTATTTTTGAGAATAATATACGTGGTACTCGGACAGTGTAAGTATTTATCATAAATAATTGTGATAGTGTAATACTTTTCTTGTAACAATATGTATTTATAAACTAATTACATTGCAGTGGACTGTACCACTATGTGAAGCAAATGGCTTTGCTGCGAACCGTTGGACATTTCAAATTTGCTTATGTAAAATTCGAAATTCTTAAAATAACTATGCATCCTGAGGATGGAACAATTAGAGTGAGGTGGCGAATTAGTGGTTTAACAGGGCTCAAGGTAAAATGAAAAGTGACAAAAATCAGCGTATTATGAATGTAATATTTATATTTTGCACTGTTTGAGAAAAAATCTGTTTTGTTCAGGTTTTCATGAAATTTTGGAAAGTCAAGGTTTGGAAATTAAAGGAAACTATAGATAAAAAGGAATCGTGAGTATTTTTGTGTCTGTGGTTATTTCCAATTTGGTCTTTGACCCTTAACAATACCATATTTCTTTTCAGGTGGTATGATGGATTTTCAGTTTTTCATGTTGGAGGAGGAGATGGCTTAATTTATAAGCATGTGGCTGACAAAGTAAGTTATTTTTATCTGTTAAAATTTCATGTTAACACAAGTCAGTTAAAATAGAGAATATGATACAATGAGATAATAGTGATTGGGAGGGTGAAAGATGGGATGAGGAATTCACGAAGATGGGAGTATGTTGTCTCCTGATATACTTTTCGTTCACCCTCTAACTGCTATGGGCTGTTTGACTGTGAGACATGCGTTGTGCGTCATGCTTCTCGCTGCTGGCCCTGTTGTGAACTGAGCTCACTCACACATATATATCTCTTAAGACAATTCAGTTTTCAGTAAGTCCTAGCGTAGTTCTAGGTTCTGCGTAGTATGTCTATAGGCTCCCATTGACATACTGACTGAGCATACATCCAGAGGCTACCACATACTAAGATTATTTTGCATATCAACTCGTCTAGAGCAGTCAAAGGGCTAAATTTAAAAAAAAGAAAGAAAAAATAAAAATAAAAAAATTCCACCCCACACTCATGGAATTTAATAATACTTATATATTTTGCGCTAGGGTTTTTGAGACACCTTCAGTAAAAGAGCATGCATTTACTTACCACAAAAGTTGAAAAATATGAAAAACGCTTTTAATTCACTAGCATTTTTATACTAACTTAAATCTATGACAAAGTTGATGTTTCCCTATACATTTCCATTTTGAGGATGGGGTTTGAACCTTCAGCCCTCATGATTAACTTAAAACACCCTTGAGTGTAAGCAATGCATTTTAAGCCATTATACTTTTAGAAAAAATATGTCAAAAATCTTGTTTGTTGGTGAATATGGATATCTTTTATTAGTACTGGAAAACACTCCTGTTGTCATTAGAAATCCAATTACATATATCTTATTGTTTCATTGCATTTCACAATGAAAAACTCGGGACACAGCACTTGCCTGGACTATTGTTAGTTATCCTCAAAACTTAACTCGTCACCATGGACTTCTCCATTTTTTTGAGTGTTATGAACTGCCAGTCGAGACAACTTCGTTGTGTAGCACTGTTTACTCTACTTCAACCCACAAGTTTTTGGTAGTGTGTTTGAAATATAACACTCCTACAAAATTGGTAATGATAGTATTTTGCACAATGAAACTTGACTGCATTTCAAAAAATGATTTTAATCTAATTCTATTTATTTCTCTTTCTTTCTTTCCATGTCTTCTTCCTTTTTGCTTTTTCCATTCTACTTTTCTTATTTTTTTATTATGTGGAATATTGAGTAAATAACAAAGAAAGTAAATGAGGCTGTAAAAGTGTGAAAGAATATTATTTTCAATGTTGAAATGAATGTTTATATTTAAAGCATAATTGATGGGAGCAGTTGATAATGCTTTGCAAATGTAAATTGCCGTTAAAGAAAATGAAGTATCTGTAATTTGCAGCTGATATTTACTTGCGAGAAATCTGCGTGGCATGTACATTTTAGTGGATAAAGTCTGTTGCCAACTTAAACAGTTGTAAGTTTTCATAAATTGTTTTACTAACCATATGGCAATTGAAGAGCAGCACAACAGTGGTAATTAATTTAGTGAGGGTACTAAATACTGTAAAAGTCAAAAAGCTGTTAAGTGGAGTTATGCTAAGGATATTTTTGACAATTTATAAGAAAACATTGACGCAAAACCCTGTAAGAGTGCTAGTGCTGGATAATTCCCCAGTTCTGCATCCAACAGATGATAATCACAGATAACTTGTAACAATGTGTCTTAAGCCCTTAAAATCAGGTTTACGTGCTCCTCAGGGGGCAAGACTTTTGGGGGACAATTGAGACTTAAGGTATGTCTTTTGAATGGTATTCTACTAAAAGATACTCTTTTGAACCTATATTTTTTGTCTTAAGTTCTTCTGGAGACACCAACTCTATAGTGTGGATGCTCAGATATGAAAAGTATCTCTAAATGGTGTATACAAATAAATTGAAGCAATAGCGAAGGAAATAATATTCCATTATTATTAAAGAGGCTATTTGAATTTCTGTAAAATGTAATGTCAACGCTTAACAGTATTACAGTGTTTACTTGCGCTCAATACCAGGTTTTTGATGCTGCTGGAAGTCAAAATTCAATATTAAGCTATTTTTCAGTGTTAAACCTTTGATTTTCAGAGTGCAGAATGTTTCAGCTTGTTCAGACTAAATATTGTCCAGCACATTTCTTCAAATATTCATCTAGAACCACTTGTTTTAAGTCTCATTTATTTAAAGTTTAAAGCTTAGATTTGCAGAATGTTATTGTATGTAGTATAAAGTAAAATGCAACATTCTGTAACTGTTGTTTATATGTCATTTAATGCTCAATAGTTAACAAAATGCTTCAGTCATCTGTTGGATTACAAAAAGAAATTAGTGATGCTACAGCACAGACTTTCTAATACTAATTAGTTTCCTTATCTCTTACATCTGGCTACCTTTCAGTTTTGTCCCCATCCGTCCATCTCCCTTGTTGACATCAAAAAAACATTTTTTCACAATTACGTAATTTTTCATTCCCTAGTAGCAGAATAGAACTTGTGGTGCTACAAAAGCACATTTTGTGCTTAATATATAACTCTTGAATTTTTTGAAAATTCAGAGAGTTCAATGAATAACTACTGCATCTTTCTTTAAGTGACCTGTCCTCTACCTGTGGAAAAATTTGACAGAAAAATTTAGAGCCGTTTTTGTGAACAAAAATTTTAATTGCCTTTACCTCAAGCATAAATTTCGTCAAAACTACTCTTTATTTCCCCAAAATTATAATTGTGTGTCATAAAATATCACATGTTATAAATTATTATAAATTCGACAAAAATTACTCTTTTTTTCTTTCTTAAAAAATTGAATCTGATCTTATTTAAAGAACTAGTTTTAGAACTGATTAGAATGAGAAAATGAGGTGACTTAACTAATTTCCAAGTTTCCTTCATATCGGTATGTCACATTTCGAATACCTTCTACCCTGGCTCATAGAAATCAATGGAATAGTTTCTGAAGAGAGATGGCTTATTAAAAACACCAATTCCGCATCCTGTTCATTTTAAAATTAATGTATGTTAATGGAGTTGTAGCCGATTTCTTACATTTTATTAGAAAGAATATTGTTTTCTTTCGGTGCTAGCAGAAAAGCAGAAGTACTTAAAATATTTTTTTTAATATGACACAAAATATTAAAATTTGGTTACGATATGTTCTTCATATGACGGAATACAATTTTCTTCATCTCTTTTTAATTTTTCCTGTTGAGCTCGTCAGGATATTTTCTTACGTTGTTGTGAGTTACTTGATAACTTGACTAGTCTGAAAAATAATATGGTAGTTACAATTCACAAATTTTGATATTTATGAGGTTCACACATCGACCAATTGAAATGGGGAAAGCAATACCTTTACTAATCACAAACTTTGAACTTCAAACTATTAAAAGATTATAAAACCAAAATACAGCTACATCATTCTCTGTGAGCATTCTCTTATATTTCTCAAGTATTTACACTTAAGCCAATGTAAATGCTGACTACATAACAGTAATGAGTACAGGTTTCACAACCAGAAACACCACACAAACAATTTTTGTTTAAATGTTTTACGTAGAAAATTATTCTGACTAATGCACTTGAAATACAATCACTACTGAACGGATACATTATAATGACACTACCACACACACTTATACATCATTTTCTTTCAATATTGCACTGATGAATGACTGTCTTATTCATATTTTCAATCTGGCGAAGAAGAAGGAAGAGGGGGGAATTGTTTAATAACATCATTTGTCATAGTAACTACTATCAATGAACTCGAACATTCATAAACAAGCAAATACAAAATTTTCACATTTTCTGTACTACTTACAAAAAGTTTTTCAAATGTTATTAGAGAAAATAGTGAACTTTTCAATAAACATGATGGTTTACTTTTTGTTTTTGTGCTATAAATTCTTTTTATTCTGTGAGTGATTATAAAACACCTATATTTCTCGTTATTTTTTTAATTTTCAGACCTCATGGCCTCTAAATCAGGCTTTCAGAATATCCATAGTTTTTGAGAAAATTTTCTTCTAACATTTCTGATTTATAGTTCCCATTTACTAAAAAACAATACTGATAATAAAAAAATTATTATTAGAAATGCTTTCAATTTTTTATTAAAAAACACATTAAACAATGAAATACAGGGTGTCTAGGGAGGAAACGTCAAAACTTCGCAAATAATCTCTTTAAGACAATTTAAGCATATTTTGTCTAATAAACTATGTGGATATTCCAAATGGTTAAGCTGCAATAAGCACTCAAATGTTTGTTTGAAAAATGGCTTTCTAGCCACAAATTTGCATTGCCAAAGCATATAAACCCTCCAGAAACATGTAAATTGTTTATTATTAACAAAAAAAATTGCTATATTTGTTCAGAAAGAAAAATTAATCAACAAATAAAAAAGCAGTAGAATTGTGTAAATTGGATGCTTTTTTTATTTCTGCGTTAATGTGTCTTTCTAAACAAACATATTGGGTTTTTTTGGTAAAGTCCTCCTAAAAATTAGTGAATGATTTTCAAAATTACAGAAATTCGAGTGAAACAAGATTGACAGAAGTGTTTATTCAGTTTGGAAAAAATCCTACACATAGTTTAGGCAGTAGTGTTGTTCACAGACAAGAAATGGTCTGACGTTTTGATAAAACAAAAAACAAAAACAACAAAGTACTTTTCCATATCGAGGACCCACAATCCTTGAAATATGACGTATAAGAGGAAGGAATTTACTGCATATTGGAACAAGATTTATCCATTTTCTCTATATCAAGACCTCACAATAAGTGGTTTTCTGCTGCAAAATTACCAGTTTTTTGCCATTGCAGTATATAACTTACTACATATACATATATTCATAGTAAGTTATACATACATACATATATAATATACATACATTCATGTATACATATATACTCAAAGTAAAATACATATACAATAAAGTAATATATACATATAAGATAAAGTAAAATTTAGTGTTGAATGACAAAATCATAAAATTAATAAAAATGTATAATTGATGAAATGTGTAATAAGATATATATGGGCTTGAAACAATTTGTAATTTATGGAAGATTTGAATTTTTGTTTTCTGAACCTGTAATAATTTTTATTCTATGTGATTTTCTCCTTTCAGTAAAAATTACTAATGAACTGGGGAGTATCTTAAAATCCAGATAAACATAATTTTCACATTTATTTGAAAAAAGTAAACAGTATACATTAATTTTAATGGGTTACCTTTTGTGCCTTAGAAACCATAAAATGCCAACCACATATCGTCACAAAACATTGCCCTGTTCAATTTGTCTTCAGTTTCCAAATTTAAGTTTTGTTGTTTCTTCAGTCTTTTACTAAGTTTTCAAAAAAATATTATCTTCTGATGTTTTATTATGAACGTGTATATCTAAAAAATTTTTAATTTGCAACTGAAGCTCACGGGATGATTATTTTCAGATGATGCCAGATGATGATCACGTTCCATCACGTGTGAAAGACACACCATCACTTGCTACAAAGTTAGCACTGTGTCTCGGTGTCCTATCTCCTCCTGGGATTCCGGAATTCGAGCATTATTTGACATCGTCTCAAAACTTACTGTCTCTTTCTGATGTCATGTTACCTTTAGAAAAAATAGCGTGATGGAATCGTGCTAATAGAAACTTAGATTGAAGTTGATATTTATTACAAGTAAGTAGAGCTTTTCTAAATCAAGAAATCTCTAATCTTGTCACTGCCTGTGATTTGTTCTTTATTGGTAGCACTTTTTTAAGTCTTGAACAGTATTTGTGAATGCCTTACGAAAGTTTTAGGTTTTGTTGATGTACTGTGTTAGTTATTTATACAATTATATAAAAAATGACTCACATTGAAAACTTGTCATGGTTATACTTGTTAGAAAATGTGCTTGAGTGAAGTTGTAGACTGTGCTTGTTATTTGTTTTTAAATTATGTGAAAAAAGTTTTGACTAACTTAGCAACTTGATAATAAAATATAAAATCATAGTTACGTAAGTTTCAAAATTTTATTGTGGATAGGGCATATGTATCCTTTTTTATATATCTAAAAACTTTATAAAAGTCTTAATTTAAAACTACTTCTGTAAAAAATAGTGAGATTTGGAATAATATTATTGGATGTGTCTTAATGTGTTTCATTCCTTGCAGCTGAATTGGTTACAAACAATTTGGTTGTGAAAGATCCTCAAGAAGTGAAGGAATTACATGATGTAATATATAGATGTATAATTGATGTACAGAAAGTTATAGTATTTTAGAGAGTTATAGATATGTATATTTTTTTTTATTTATATTAGTAGACCTGATCTATAAAATACATGTCATTGCCCCTATTCAATACATGTCACATGTCATTGAAACTGGATACTAGTAGAAAATACACAATATTGTGCAATTGAACACAGAATGAATTTGTAAATTGGTCCTAAATGCAACTTGGTTAACAATAAAGATAGATGTTTTCATATGATGTCAACTTACTATATATCTTGATATGGCAGATATGAAAATTTATTTTCTAAAATATGGTATTAAAGTAAACAATGTTTTCTGCCAAAACATGAGACTACTTCTACTTTGTAATATTTTGTTGATCAATAATCTTTTAACATCTTGGCAGAATAACTAGTTTTATCATTCTAATAAGGTTGCATCAAGTACATTAATGATAATAGTAGGATAATTACTATTGCATTTAAAATTCTGACCAGATTCTCAATTCATTGTGTTCAGTTTTGTATGTTGTATTTTGAGACTATGAATAAAATGTTACCAAGATGTCACGACTTTTTTTTCTGTTGAAATTACAGATAATAATATGAATTATAATTTGATGCCTATAAAGTGTTGGTGGTATAAGCCACATTTGGACCCATTGCCATAAAGTTTATCATTTTTGACTTGGTTGTAGCACGATTTCAGAGTGAAGATGTCAGTAGTACCCAGCAATATTGACAACATGTCATGCTTTCTAAGAATTTGGGAAGACACTTGTTCTGACATTTCTAAACATCATTTATGGTAGTTAAAATATTTTGACAACCATACCGAACAACTATGAGCTGTGGTAGTTTGTTTTTAAATCAAATTCTAAGAAGAGTTTCATAAAAATGCATTTAAAGTTTTTTGAGAATCTTCTTTATTTACTTCAGCATCACTTGTTTCACAGCCCGTAAACTCTTTTTCATAAAGCTGCTACACAATTGGTGACAAATTTTTGAAGGAACCATTAATGTCCTTTTTTGTACTTCAGAGGAGTTGAAATTAAATTGATAGCAGGGGTTACAGTTGTAGATGAGTTACAAAGAATGTTAATAAAAGTTGGGGCTATTATTAGGTTACGTTCAGTAACTCTTAGGTTTCTATCACACGAGTGTTGCATTGTCATGTATCACCTAATATTGACAACTTCAGCTGCATTGATGCCTATTCACATGTGTCACTAAACATGTCTTAGATTAACATTGTATCTTGTATGAAAGAGCACATGAACGCTCATGGCGACTCTTGCATTGATCTCAACACCTGTCGCCTAGAAGGTATCGCACCTTGAAAGCTTGAAAACACATTATCTTGTCTTGTGTTGGAACAGTGGGCACAACACAATTACCAAGAGTGGGCTTGTGTACCATTTTGCTTAACATACACTTTTAAATTGGGCTGTGCCATACTTTGCTCTATCTGAGAAAAAAATTTGGACTAATAAATTTGGAAAGTTGAGAAAATTTTGAAAATGTCCATGAGGCTTCATGTAAAGAACCTCCAAAAATCAAAACATCCATTTCAAATTCAAGGAACCACAACATCAATTATACCAATTTTGGTGAAAATCAATCCTATGGTTTAGCTGCGGTATTCAGGACCCACAGAATGTGGGTCCACAGATAGATTAGGATATTATACAGTAGATAATTATTTTTAGTAGCAGATAATTTAACATTTCAAGATGTTATTGTCATTTTAAAGCTACTACTTATAATATTAATAATAATATTAAAACAATACATTATATCAATTCTGTTAGCAACTACATAAAATTTAACAATATTAGTATTTATGTTTAAAACTTGAAATAAGGAGGAGGCAGGTTTTGACCAGTTTTTTCTTCTTTTTTTCTTTCAATTTGTACAAGTAGTCCTACTGCAGCACCTAATGCGTCTAGCGAATCCAGAGAAACAGAAATTTTTTTGTCTTTCTACATCACAAGATGCGATATGCCAGTTCGTTTTTCTTTGCTTCAGCTCAAAAACAGATAACATGAAACAGAAAGTCAAATGGGACAAGAAATTCTTATTTATTTATATTTTTTAAGGAAAATATTGTTGTGATTTGAATATTCCTTTACACTGTACATGTTAAGCAGGAAAGCTTTCAATTTACTTATAAATGGATGAATTGTGTTTGTCTTTAATATCATTGCCTAGTTTGTTGTGAAGTGTAATGCCCTCCATTAGGGTACTTTTTTGATAAAGTTTAGTTCCATAGTGGGAACATGTAGGTTATCCTTTTGACGAGTGTTGTAGTTGTGTACAATAGAATTTAAAGTAAAAGTGTCTTTGTTTTCCATGAGAATTTTCTTTGTGAAGACCACTATTTCAAATATATACATGCATGGTAGAGGAAGAATCTTTAGTTTATTGAACAAAGGTTTGCAAGACTCCATCTTATGAGTGCTGGTCATTGTTTGCAATATTCTTTTTTGGATAATAAATGTGCAAGTGCTTTCAGGAGCATTTCCCCAGAATATTATTTCATATTTTAGGTGTGAGAGCACATTTGCAAAATACATTGTTTGAAGTGTCTCAATGTTGGAGCTTGGCCTGATGGTGTATAGGGCATAGCAAGATTTGGTGAGCTTCTTGTTAAGATTTGAGATGTGAGCATTCCATTTTATGTTTTCTTGAATTGTTAAACCAAGGAAGGTAGTTTCATGATATATCTTTACAGGGTTATTGTTTTTGAGCAAATGCTGTGAGAGTTTTTCTTTAGATCGGGGATTCATGAAATTTAGAGAGACTGTCTTGGTGGTGTTTATGATGAGTTTGTTTCTTGAAACTATTTTACTAGTGCTTCCAAAGTTTTGCGAGTTTCTTTTTCTAATGATTGTTGTGTTTTTGCTTTGGCGATTGTTTGTGTCATCTGCAAATTATTTTGTTATTTCTTAAAGCCAAATGCATGTCATTCATGTATACAAGGAATAGTATTAGCCCAAGGATGGATCCTTGCGGGACTCCACAATTTATCATTTGAGGACAGGAGTAGTATGAGGAGATTTTGTTTTCTTTACTGCGCCGAAGGGCAGCTATTTGGCTATGGTTTGATAAATATGATTTGATCCATTGGCATGCAATGCCTCAAATCCCTAGCATTTCTAGTTTTCTTTAAAGTATTTGATGGTCAATAATGCCAAAAAGCTTGAGAAATCTAAGAAAAGGTTAATGGAAATTTCCTTCTGATTTAGTGCACTAAGTATGTCATTTAAAAAGGAGAAAATGGCTGTGTCTGTGGATCTATTACTCCTGAAGGGTGAATTTGAAAAATCAATATAAACAGAAATATTTGCTATCTCAAGAACTATTGAAAATAACTTGAAAGAATGTCTGGTCATTAATTAAGGAATCAAAACATTGATTAATAAATGCATCCAACACAATTCATTCATTAAAATAATGAAGTAATTCTCTCATCGTCCATCTTGAATTAAGATGAAATTTATTGTGAATTCTCATGCTACACCTGTTGTAAACATTAAACTGCAAATCCTCGGGGCTACAGAGGACCTCGTAAGGCAATCTTCCATCATTCTAGTAACTTTCAAGGATAAAATATTTAATTAGTTCGAAATCTCAGCATTGAGCATTCAGGTCTTTTGCCTCGCTAGTAATTAGTATGAATTTAATATAATGTATTGCAAAACAGTCCGTGGCCTTCTGCTCTTATATGGCTCATTACCTAGAGCAGCTTCCACTCAAGTTGTGCATGATTAATTTAGTAATGTTGTCAGCACTGGGCAGTGTCCTGTGGCATTTTCAACTGTCTGAGTAGTCACATGTTTTATAATCTGATTCCATGATTGATTCTTAGCTCCTACAGTCACTTGGCTGGGAGGGATGTGTGTTTGAAACTCATATCAGTAGTATTGATTTTTCGTTCACACCTACCCCCAAGATCTTGCTCTAGACTATGGGCTGCCTCTACTTTTGGTCATCCAGTGTCCAAATCTGATTGTATGATACTTCACTAGAGCATCAGTAAATGTGGATTAAATAATTTCTCTTGCACCTTTCAGCTTTAATCCAGGCTCATATGATGGTTTACACATCCTAATTAATATGCAATAATAGTCAGTCCTAGTGATCTCTCTTCATATCATTTCTCAAGCAACTTTTCTCACCATTGATGTAAATGTAAACAGTACTTATGACTAAAGAGGGCATAATAAGTTGTTCTTTACCTTCTCTTGGCTTTTGGATCTTTCTAGTCAATATGGAATGAAATATCTAATATTACAGGATATTACTGTAACAGGATGATACTTGGATTGTTTCTCATAACTCAGAATTTACATTATTATTATTATTATTATTATTAATTTTTTTTACAGAATTTTTGTATTATTTAAAAAAAATTAATTTTATGCTTCATACTTATCATGAAATAACCTTTTCAAGTCCTCTGATGCAGACTTATTCACTGAATTGAATTTCCCTTGCTTCAAAATGTTGATAGAAAACTACATAAGATAATGTTGAACTTTTTAAAATCAATTTTGCTCAAATTCTCAAATAACAAAAGTTTTCGTCTAGGTCTTCATTTGGGGAATGTGTAAAATGATATTTTTTGAAAATCGCATAGGTTTTATTTTTTTCCACATATCTACAGATGTCAGTGAATTAAACCGACAATTGGATGGATTATACAATAAATACAAAATATAACTTTCAACTCTTCTCTACTTCGTGAAATAGCCTATAAGTTATATGTTGTACTCTGAAAAACATTTATAACAAAGCATGTAGAGGTACTGTGAGAGTCACAAATGAGAATTTTTCTATGACAACACCAGGACAAATAGCAATATGCTCAAAAACTGTAGGATTATAAAACTGCACATGAAAAGTTTTCCAATTTTTTAGGTTCACAGGTTGGGTATTACCTTATATTGAGCTCTCTTCAAGTCCATTAAATGTAGAGGCAGGAAAATATTTTGGAAGAGGGCAGTGCCAAAAAGCAACAGCATGAATCAGATTCATCTAATGCTAAACGTTGACACATTTCTCACTGAAATTCTCTAAGTACCATTAATATCTAGCAATGTCCTGCTAACATATATGTATAGATGTATTCACAAATGATTTATAAAATATTTTAGTACAATCAAGGTTCTTACATCTAAACTGTTCAGTATATCTTTTCTTTGGCAGTTCTCAGAAGCTTACAGCAGGAAAGGGTCAAGCAAATCATTTTGGAGGCAGCTTGAACAAGCATGGTATGAACAATCAGGATGAGAGTTTGCAGCTCTCTAACATCACAATAGAATAATTCTTTTAGACAACACTTTACATCACGGACTTTGGGGTTTAGTTTTGTATAGCTTGTGCTTTGTACATCAATGAAGTGGCAAACATTTTATTGATCAATTCTCAAATTGTACTTTAATAGTGATTAATCAAATGGGCACAAGTAATGTAATGCCAAAACAACTAATATTTGCTCTACATGTACAAAATTACTATGTTTAAGAGTTCACAGATTTAAAACTATAATCACAATTTCTTCAAAAATAGATATTAGATTTGCAGAATTTTTAAGATAACACTTATTGCTGATTTGCCAAAACTGCTAAATACAAACAAATACTTTGTTCACAACAATTCACACAAATTTTCAGTTATTACTCTAGATTAAAATTAGTAAGACAATCTTGCGTACCTAAAACATCTGCAAATAATAGCAGCTGAAATCAACGCTCCCAATCAGTTTCATGGAAGACACAAAATACTTCTAGTTATTAATGGAAGAACTACAGTTAGGCCTAGGGCAAGAGATTTTTTCCTAAATCAATTTACAATATTTTAGCAAACTGAAGAGAATTAAAATTTTAGGGAAATCACACAAAATTCTGCAACTGTCATAAGTAAAAGGAGAGTACCTTGTTTTTCATAACACATTTGGGTGAACTGTGTTCAATGTATCAACCCTGAGTCTCTGCATGAAGAGAAATCATCTTCGTTTTGCTGATCGACAATATGCGTGACTAAAATTGTAGTGTGCGTGATTTTCATGAAAGATACTAATTTTTTATCCTTCAACACTACTTCGTTTTGTATTGATAATCCTATCATACTTCAGTTGGATCTCAGTATTAAGCTACTTCTTGCTTATCAACATATGAAATTATAAATATTTGTGATATATGCCTTGTAACAAAGTATGTAAAATACAAAATATGAAGCCCTCGTTATGAACACATGTGGACCAAATATTGTGAAAAAAATTTCACATGTGCTTAACACAGTATTCCTGACATTGTTTGTCAGTTTGTTACAATTCCAAGTTAATTTCTTGCAATCATAACAGTACTTGAATGATTCAGAATAAAATATGATAAAATGCTATTTCTTGTAAAACAACTCTGCTGGAGTTTCATAAACCAGCAAGTTACAACAAATTTTCATTCCTTTCTTCTTGCTTTCCCCACAGCAAAGCTTATTAAAAATTATTGCCAGAAAGAAATGAAATAAAGTATATTATCACACAGTAACCTGAACATTCTGTACCATATTACTCCAGTCAACTTTTGAAGGAACCAAGTAAAATGCAGGAGAGATTTTGGATCCACAAGGACACTGGCAACCTGTAAAAATCCAAACAAAATTGTAATACTACTTCAGCAGTGTTTAGCAGAGGCCACTGTTTCTTTTAAGATAGAAATAGGTGAAAATGATTAAACAACAATAATTTACAAACCCATAATCCAACTAAAGGATCCCAATTTTGTATTGCACTTTGGACAGCTAATTTTTCCTTGGAGTGAAGTGGTAACTGATTGCATCCAAGCTAAAGGTTCCACAAAGTAAGTGTCTCGACACAATTCCAAATCAGTATAATCGGGTCGGCCCCATCTTTCATCAGTCCAGAGCGGTTTCTCTTTAGGCATATGTGGCAGCACATTTGATGCAGAAGCTAAGACTCTTCTGGATACAAAAAGCACAAAGAAACAAGAGTTTCAAAGGTAGTGTCCTCTCTATAAGATCGTGCTCACATACTTAAACAAAAATCATTCTTCTTATTACAGAATTGTGTGAAAAGTGTATACATTAATTCTTCTGAAAATAGGCATAGAAAAAACACCTCAAACTTATAAATAAGCACTGTAAAAATATGTGTTAAATAATCACAGTTCACCAAAAACTCCTGTTGCTGTTGTTGTTTGTTGGTTGCTCTTCTTAGTATTTCTTAGTTCCTATATTTTCCATTGTGTATCTTTCTTATTTTGATATTCTGAAGTTGTGCTGTAATCTTCATTGTGTTGTTTATTCTCGTTTTTGGATTATTGCGTTAATTTTTTCTTCCTGTTTTTGGTCTATTTCCTTTTTGTACGATCAATTAGTATAGAGGTTGATCCATTGCTCTTCTGATACAATGTTATGTAGGGTGCCTATTTTTTTTTCATGCTCAGTTTTCTCAGGATTTTGAATTCTACTCTTTGTTGGCTTCTAGTGTCTCTTTCTACAGCTTTCACTGTCTTCCCTTCTTGACTTTCTTGCTATTCTTCTAACCTTAGCTCATAGATTTTTATATTTCACATTTTCTGATATATTTTTTGACTAAAGGTATTTTCTATAAACATTTTTCTTCTCCTTAATGAGGTCTGCTATTCGTATGTTTAAAGATGGAAGCCGTTTCTCATTCTTTTCTTGTTTATTATCAATTGTCTCTTCTGCTACCTTTTCCTTTATCCTTCAAGGTCTTCTTCTGTTTGTAGCTTACTTTGTACGTATGGTTGTTTCTTATATTGTTTTCCTCCAGTAGGTGTATTTTGAAAGTTTTTTCAGCTGTTCTGTTGTTTTTAGATTTTGTTGTAATTTTTGTATATTTAATCACTATTTTACTCTCTACCAGGTGGTGGTAGTGGTATATTTTTAATTATTTGATAAAAAACTATACTTAGTTTTATGCAGATATAGGAAGTTATTATTATTATTACACTTATTATTAAATATGCTTTATTTTATCAATTAATAAATTAAGTAATTTGTGGCAAAAATGTAGTTCTAGGAACTACCTTTTTAGAAACTAAGCACAGTGCATACTATATAGATAAGTATCAAATGAAATTATTATTGATTCAATATTCATTTCCTGAAATTTTGAGAAATTAGTTGAAGGCATCTGAAACATTTCTGATACTTGCAAAGATGTTTGCACAATGCTATGTAAAATTTAGTAATAAATATTATTGTTAATGTGTATATTATCAGTACAGTATTACAATTAGTATTGGTAAATTGTTGTGCTATATTGACTCATTCAAGTGAATACAGAATTAAATGTTTACAAATTGTAAAAATGGATTTGATTGTCTTTAAAAATTAGGATATCTTCCCATCCTAATAATGTGTGTTTAACTCTTTCATGAAGAGTTTATTTCAATCATTTCCAAAATGACAGCACAATATTTTGGCCACTAAATTATATAATATGTTCACAAAATCACAAAATGCTCAAAAGAGCTATCTAAAGTTACAACAAACTTAAACAATTCAAAAAAAAAAAAAATTATCTTTAATATCTACTAATCACAACTAAATTACTTGCCTTCAAAAATCTTCAAGGATATTTTTTCTATGCTTCTATTTTCCTTTTAAACAAAAACTAGCATTTGTTTCTTTTACATTAGATAATAAATAAACAAACCTGCATCTGCGGCACCTGTACACCAGTGGCTCAGGTCGAACTGTTATTAATCCTGGATCAGGTTTGATCACATCTACACAACTCTGGGGCAAGATTTTCACTGAACATAAATAACACATATTAAGAGCATTTATAGGTAATTTTACACAAGAAGCTACACCCTGTTACTTCATATTCATTACCTTTCTTTACTTGGTCAGCAGCTATATGCAAGCGGAACATTCGGAACTGCAAATGATGTCTATCTACACACCATCCCATGTATTGATACAGTCGTAGCTGATCCATAAAGCCTGGATTTGGCCTCACAAAGCGCCTCTGTGCTTGGACTCTGGAGTATTATTGTGCAAAGAGATTGTAACATAATTACACATTAGGTTGAGAAATAAAAACAGTGCAAGCATATCAACGTCAAATTCCATGAAACATATTCATGATGCAAATCGATCCCATCTTAGGATCGGAGGGAGGAAGAAAAAAAACAACCAGAAAGTTCATAAGTAGTTAATGAAATTGCTTTCTTTCCCACTTAAAGGAATAATTGAACGTGTCTTGCATGATTCACTTATTAACATTTTAAATTATAATATTATTTTATATGAAGTGTTGTGCTGGAATGTATTAATAGTAATAAATTATACTTTAAAACTAAATGTTGATAAAACTATCTTGCAATAAATTATTGTATTAAGTGTTGAATAATTGTGTCTTGTATATGGCAACGTTATAGTTTCTTCCTGCCAATGGCAACAGAATCAGGCCACATTTTTATCAAATATGACGTTTCAGTATTATTGATGACGGAAGTTTTATGCACTAGAACATAACAATTGGCTACGAGTTTATGCGAATGGATCAAAGTAAACAAGCTCGTTTGAAGGACGCGCGAGTGGTATTCACGAAGTCGATGAAAGTAGGTACCTCCAACAATTCGATACACGGTACGCGATCTCACGGTTGATTTCAGAAAGTTCGCGCGAATGTACAAACGTCCATTTGTGCTTTAAAGCGAGCTAAATTTGATGACACCACATGGCACGGAGATCATATGGATGAACAATGTGATGACCAGTCGTGCGAATAGGAAGGATACAGACACAGTGATTTCAATCAGTTCTAGGTTACAGTTTCTTCTATCAATTGCGATACCTGTAGCAAATTTAATCATCTTTCAACAGCAGTTACTCAGGTAGGTCACTTCATGGTGTTTTATGAACAAATATCTACATTTTCGAAGTAGAAACGGGTCACTTCCAGGCAAGTATGTTAGTAACAAGGTACTTAGATGTCTTGAATAAAAAAGTGAAATGTACAGAGCAATCCCTAATAATTTATTGGAACTTTGAACACTTCATTTTTTATCTTGATAGATCAAGATACTTTTTTAATCATTTAACATGGAGAAATAAGGAAACATCTGAATTTACATAACTTGAAAGAAAATGGTCAAAAAGAGACATTTGTTATAAAAATGAAAGTCTACTTACCTTTCAAATGCTTCATCTAATGAAATCTGATATTTTTTCATCATATATGCAATAACAATTGTAGCACTTCGTGACACACCGAAATAGCTGAAAAGATAATACATCATTGATTGGAAGGAAGCAAATATCCAATACATTATTTCACATTTCAACACTTCACACACCAATGTATAAGAATTTGTCCTTCTTCTTGTGCATTCTTTATGAACTCTGAGGCTTCTTCAAAGTGACTGACTAAATCTTCTCTTGGTGTATCTGTGACTGTAATATGTAAATGAAAAATAAATTTCTTAGTTAAATGTCAAAAGCGAGTTTGGACCACAAAGAATATCATGAATTGTATAATAAACTTTTGTTCCTACCTTGAATGAATTTAGTTTTTACACCTGGAAGCATTATTATCTTGGTAGGTAAGGGACACGAGTCGATTGTCAATATATGATTAATTTTATGTTTTGACAACACTTCCACATCTGTAGCTGCTGTGAGATTACCTAAAAAATTGGTTTATGTTACTACCTCAAAATTTTTTTTATTGTCATTCAACAAGCTTTGCATGCCACAGGTAGAATTGTAAATCACGTAGCAATTTACCTAGCCAAATTCCTGGTTCGATGAGGTCGAGGTTAGTAGGTCCAGCATCGAAATCGTCTCTTTCCAGTTGAGAATTTTCTCTCCGTCGTAATGACGGCTTTCTCAACGATCCTACTCGTTCAGTCATTCCCGAGAAACTTGAGTTTTACTTCAATACAATGATAAGAATATCGTACAATTCTCTTCGAAATATCAAAATATATTGACACTACTGAACGACTTCCGCGGTAGATCCACTACAATAAATAATCGGCGTATACGTAAAAATAACATTTGTACAGGTTAGGCCATAAGTATCAGCACTGGAACCCTTGTTGCCTCACAGCGCATCGTTCACTGACTGTCACACATCGTGCCACGACGGTGTTTTTCAAAAAACCCTTGAAATAAAACCATGCGTATTCCTATCGATTTAAAGATGTAGATGCCGCGCAAGCGCCTGTGTCGCCGGCTCGGGCGGCGAATCGTAGCTGGTGAGGAGATTCGGGAGGCGACCACGAGGCGCTAGTGGCGGAAAGCTGCTTTGGTGGGGGTGGAGGGGAGGGACTGGAAAGCTCCGACCTGGGCTCATTTTTGTTGCGTCGGGTCGTTATCAGAACTTTGTTATAACAATGGATCGTACCACGATCGTTGATAGAGTTCAAATTCAGGCAGCCCGTACTGCGTGGTAATACGAAAAGCTTCGGAATCTATTCTTAGTTTCTCATATAAATGAGAAGTAATACATGTACACAGACGGGCCGTATTTATAAGTTTATCGGTTTTCGCCGCATTACATAACTTGTCCAAGATTTCGAGATTTCAACGAAAATACACGTTTTGGGGTCCCCTGATACCAAAAAAGTGTTGTTTATTCAAAACTTCCGTCTGTCGGTCCGTCTGTGAACACTACTAGCGCCTATACCATGCATAGGATTTTTCTCAATTGAAGAAACCCCTGTCATCTGGCTCGAGTCGAAGCATTGATATTTTGAAAAACATTCTTTAAAATTTGGAGAGTCTTTACATGACGCCCTAGAGACATTTTCAATTTGTTTTCAAAAACGACTACAAGTTGTTTCTTAAAGTTTCATGTAAGAATAGAGTCAAATACACTTATAAATACGGCGTAAGACCGATTTTCACGAACTCTGAATTATGTCTTCCTACAACTACAAAATTAGAGATAGAGATGTTTCCATCAAATTAAAATTGTTGCACATAATTATTTTTCTATTAACGTCATGTACATTTTTTGGAAAATTTTAGTAGTTTTCGAACAATATTGCGTGCAATATTTACCGTCCGACTGTCTGTCCATCCGTGTGTCTGTCCATCCGTCTGTGTCTCTGTCTGTCCGTCTTTTGTCCGTCTGTCTGTCCGTCTGTCTGTCCGTCTGTCTGCCCGTCTGTCTGTCTGTCCGTCTGTCTCTCTGTCCGTCCGTCCGTCCTCCCGCCCGTCTGTCTGTCCGACCGCCTGTCCGACCGTCTGCCCGCCCGTCCGTCCGTCCGTCTGCCCGTGCGTCCGTCTGTTCGCCCGTCTGTGTGTTTGTCCGCCTGCCTGTGGTAAATGCTAGCGGGTTAACCGTTCGGCCAATTTTCTTTGAAATTGATGTTCCCCAATCGATTTGGCCGATGTCGTTGCCCCTTGAATTTGAAACCGTTATTTAAATTTTGGGGAGTACTTTACATGAAGACTCTGGGGTATTTCCCAACTTTTCAAAAAAATTGCTCGAACGTTTTTGATTACCGTCAAACGGGGCGAGACTCTGCCATATGGGGTGAGAAAATGCCAGTCTTCATATCTTGACAAATACGCATCCTATTGATATGTATAGCAACTTTACAGTTTCTAACTTGCACTAAAAGCTAGCATTATTATCCTGACAAGTCTTGCTTTATAAAAGCGATTTATTTCCCTCGCCATGTCCCATGCTAAATGTCTGTGTATACACACTAATGTGTGAGATTGCTTTATCGAATACTTTGTTTTGTTTGCTGGGCTTTAGTGAATATTCAAGGTAAATTAATATTTCTGTAGTTGAATGGTTGGAGAAAACCTACTAGAACAGCGTTTGTTTATCTTACTATTTGAGTGTGTTATCATGCAAAGATTACGACGGAAACACTTCACTGGGTGAGATTGTGATATCGCTTGTAATCTACTCTTTCTGTATATTTTGAATTTTCCAGCCATAGTTTATGTTTACCTCTGAAAACTGGTGAAAGACACGTACGCAGTACAAATAAAGAGGAATAGAAATGTAAATGTGCCCCCAGGTAAATGCAAAACTGCTGAGAATGTAGAGATGTAGAACGTAGAATCCTTGAGTGCATTTAAGAATGTCCTGGAAAATGACCGAGCAAAAATAGCCTTTTATTCAAACCTGTTTCACATCTTCATTACTGAAGCTAGAGATCTTTCTATTGTAGTTAGTCGTATACATTGGATCATTAAATCAAAAAAATATGTGAAGATAAATGCAAAATAAACGTACTTTTTGGTAATTTTGAACTAAAGAATGATGTGTTTAAAGCATTATAGAGCCTTAGAGTATTGTCACCATTGCAACCATTTAGGCAATTCTTTATGCATGTATCCGCGTAAGATCTATGTATAAAGAGTTGCCTAGAACGAGGGGCAAATGTGCAATATCACATGAAACTCCGTTCTCTGCAATTTCCCGTCATTTGTTCATTGGCTATACAAGTGATTATTTTTGACATTTTTTATGCTCTAGAAGTTCACAACATTTATTCTGAAACATTCTGAAAACATATCAGATACAGTACTGCATATAGATTAATCTTTATGAGACAAACTAGGTTTCTTGCGACGCGTGACGGTTTCTGATTAAGAGAATAAACTCCATTTCAAGTCGCGTATTACAAAACATTTTTTTAAAACTAAAACTCCAGTCAAACTCAGTGGCTTGCGAAGTGGCAACGCACGACTCGCTTCTCACGAGCCCAGAAATTTGCCTGCGAGCTGCGTTGTATCGGAGAGGAGATGGACGTCACGGAGTGGAACAGTAAATGGCTTCAGGCGGTTAAACGTGCATGCCGCGGGAGTAACGTGAATTATACTTGTATTTCGCTTTACGGCCTTCTTAGGATACAGAGCGCGCAAGAACGCAAGACGGCACGAATATAATTCGAAAGCAGAATAAGAGGTGTTGTGAGTTTTAAGACCATATGTAGTGATATTGAAATAAGTGCGAATTTTTTTGCTATGGACTTCGTAAAAGTCAGTGTGATGTATCAAAATTGCAGCATGATGTTGAATATTTAGTCTTACACGCACGTAGAAGCAACACTAAAAGCTTAATTAGAACTTCAATAATTTTCGAAAATGTGTAAGAAAAATATGTTGTTTGATTTACAATTTGTCAGCAAATATTATGAAGATTATCTATTTATAAATTTATGAAGCATAATTACTTTGTTAAAAACACATTGTAAAACTAGTGGTATTACAATAACCCATATTTCCCGCATTATTGGGAACGGTTACGAGTTATGTTGCAATTTCTCTCCTGGCCTGAAAAAATCCAGCGCTTGGAAAAAGTCCAAACCAATTCAAACGAAGCGCTGAGGTGCGTATTTGTAACTTAGGTACCCAAGAACACTAGCTATTTCTTAGTTCCGCAAAAAGGAACAAACATGAATAAATCTCAACTGTTACAGAATTTGCAGCTCGTTATACAGACAAGAAAGGCTAATTTCACACAAGATAGTCTTGATTACAACAAAGTGAGCTTCCAATTTTTTTAATAATTATACAATAACCAGCGATCAAACATTTTTAAAGTAAATGAAGTGTGTAAATTAAATATTCAGAACTGAAGGCCATCCCATATATGTCATCTTTGTAAATATATAAAAATAAGGTAATAAATACACTTTTTATCTTTTAAATGTATCTGGAAAATAATAGAAAAGTTTGTTCGATATCAATTCTTTTAAAGCAAATGCTTCGACACAAAATGAAACGTTGAGTATCATCTCACTGTGTGCGGTGTGTGAAGTATATTCAAACTACATGTGTAACTAGTGGTGCTACAGAATGGCACTGACTGTCCCGTATTAGTTTGTTTTATTTCCTTTGGTCTCGTCTTGCTAGACGAACTTGCCCCATACTCTTGCCAGCTGCCATCTATCGTCCAAAGTACATTTTTTTTTAAATTTTCAGTTTCCTATTAATAGAACGAAAATATTTTATGAATATTATAGAACGGTAAATCCTCGTCTTGAATTGTAATTTTCGTTGAAAGATCTGGGGTCGTATTTAAGGAAATGGTGCTTAAGCTCTATGTAAATTCGATATTTGAAGCTTTTTTTACAGAATATTTGCGAGATTTCGAAAAACTTCATTTCAAGTACCTTAACTCACCAATATAACAGTGTTTACAAATTGTTGGAAATGTGCATATTAATGGCATGAGAGATCTTTCAAAAAAATTACATTATGTAATTTTTGAAAGAAAAAAAAATACACCCAAATGAACTTAACGTCATATTCAAGAGTGAAATTAGCACTACCCATTCGAAAAGTTCGAAGAATAAGTTTGGAGCCGTTTTTGAGAAATTGTTTTTAATAGCAATCAATGACATAACAATTGCAAGTTGCTCGAACCTTAGAAGTAGACTTATTTTTTTCCCATCGTTAGACGCTGATCTCATTTCCGTTGAAATCTGATTTTTTGTAAATTGCAAATTTAGAAAGACTGCGAAAAAATTTTTGTGCTGTTGTAGTACCACCACTGGTGCATTTTAGTATTGTGAAGCATCCATTAACCAGTTTTGGTATACTGTTATGGTTTTTATAATAAATGCCTGAGACTTTAAATCTTCCTATGTACCTATATAGATAAAATATGGATGGTAGATGTATTTCAAATAATACATTCGTCCTGATCGAGCCGCGACATTCGTGCTCAATGGTTTTGGGCGTTGGTATGGAAAGAGGCGAACTTTGTTGGAAATTTTGTTTGAAACAACCAATTCTATAGAAAGGAGGACATTTTTTTATGGAATTGCTTGGAATATGTTTAGTAACATGCTTTTAAAGGATAAGAAAAATATTTATTCGAGACTAGAAAAAACATACAATTTCATTGTATAAATAATAAACATGATAAATGTAAAAATATTCTTGTTTCAACAACAGGAAGTAATCAGTCATCACATCTGGCGTTTCTGAAGATCTGAAAATTAAAAATATTGCACTTAATTAGTACAACAATCATCTGTATGGCGCGGTTTAAAATTTTCACGCAAGTTGAAAATTGGTTAGAGGATAACACGAATTTTTATTTCCTTTTGCTTGAGTGGACACCATTTGTTACCTGCATTTGTTTGTAAAATTTGTAATGTTGAGTGACCAAGATTACCTTGTTACTATTCATCCATGTGGAGATTTGAGTTTAAAAAGTAAAATGAATTTTTGTGAAGTTTATAATTAAGAAATGATTAATTAGCAGGGGTTTGTATCAAATGATTACTTTTATAATTGAAAACATAACTATAGTAAAAAAAAATTCATTTACTTGAAAGAAAACAAAGAACTTCAGAGTGTGTAGTTCAGTAAGGAGCAGCCTATTTTCAATGTAGTTGTCTGCTATGATTGTCTACATAGTACGAATGGTAACTTTAGTGATAAATGTTATTTGAATACGAAGTGATTAAAGAAACTGTTCACGAGGAAAAATTTTGAGCTCTTATGCGCTCGAAACAGAATTTCTTTACTCGCTAGTTTTTCTTTCATCCTGCAACTATTCTATCAATTTTTCCTCTATATTTCTTCCTATTTTGTAATGAGATATTCTTTGCTCTCCTATGTAGAGTATTGGAAAAAGTGCGATTTAGATATTGGGAAAGAACAATATTTTGAACGCGTGAACTAAAAAAAATCAATATATTTTGCTACATGAAAAAAGACCTACCTCGTTTGGCACGAGTCTGCCATTTAACTGGCATCCCTGGCAAAGCGTTCTTTGACGCCGGGCGAGTTCTCGTGCACCATCCGGTACAGGTAGCCGCCCACTTTCTTCAACAGCATCTGCGGCTTGTCGAATTCCACCGCGCGGCCCGCGTCCACCACCAGGATCCTGTCGTAGTCCATCACCGTCTCCAGGCGATGCGCCACCGTCAGGACGGTGCACGACCGGAACTTCTCGCGAATCGTCTTCTGGAGGAGGGCGTCAGTACTGGAAGCAGGATAATGTTATATTTGTAGTAATGTTTTAATATTTTTGGGGGAGAGCTTCTTGCTTCTCGATTAAAGCCCTTCCCCCGCATTTCGTTCAGCGAAATGTGCAAGTCTTTGACAAGTTATTTGTGTGGTTTTCCGTGATACCTTTACTAGGGACACTGTACGTCAAGTTTGACGTTCTATTTGACTTATAGATAGCGAAAAACTCGTTTTTGTAGAACTCATTTTTGTATTAATATCTTTGTGGAAGCAAGGATTTGTTTCATTGCCTATTTTTAGTGCTGCATATTCATAATTTTAGTCATATTCTAAAGGAAGCTTCTGGGTCTTTAGAGAAATAGAAACTTGAATAAGATTCAGCACTGAGAAACTCATGTTTTAGTTTACATAGGAATAGTGTTTGCAATAAGAAAAGAAAACCCCATTAAGTTTCAAAATAAAATAAGACTTCAGATTTGTTGTCAACATTCATGCTTACTGAATTAGGCAATTTAATTCGTGTGATCAACACTCTCATACAATATAACTGATATGTTCTAAATGACTATTTCTCTTACAATTTTATTTCATTTTTGAATACGGCAGGAACGAGACCTGATGAATGTAACCGCGAAGTCTGGTATACTCTCAGACCTTCGACTGCTCTATTCAACCTCCTTTTGTTTACGACCGTGAGACTGAGCTTATCGATCAACATTGCCCACGAACTTAAAAATTCTTAAACGAGTTTTCCAACGAGCGCTCTCCTATTACCGGCGCCCAATCAATGGGAAGGGGGGGGGCGGGGCGGGACTCACTCCTCGTCGACGTTGGCGGTGGCCTCGTCCATGACGAGGATCTTGTTGCGGCGTAGGATGGCGCGCGCCAGGCACACGAGCTGGCGCTGGCCCGCGCTCAGGTTGCGGCCGCACTCCGACACGGGCGCGTCCAGCCCCACGGCCGGCAGCAGTGCCACCTGCCACACGCATGCACAGCACTCGTCACCGAGTCTGAACGCCCTTGCCTTTCTGCACTGTTATGTCGACATGACGCCAATCATGAATGAAAAACTGGATTAGGTAGCTCAGGACATCAATCGATACCTAAGTTTCCAGAATCTCCCCACTACTGTCCTTGGGCATGCTGTCAGCCATGTCGCTGATCTTAACACTTCCCAAGCTGATGAGACGAATTGAAGTCGAAACAGTATAGCAAAAGATGTCGTAGGCTGAAACAAAAGAATATAAGACATTCTTTGGCTTACGCCTACATCATCCCAAGGACAGTAGTGGGGAGATTCTGGAAACTTAGGGTCAAACTTTGTACTCCACGAAGCAAACGCCTTTTGCCTTTTGGCTCACGCCTTTCGGCTTTTGGCTGCAACATCAATCGATACCACTGCAGGGCCTCTGACCAGGAGGTCCTGGGGTTCGATACTCTTCAGTGGTGGGAGTTTCGACACTTGCTAAATAGCCAGGAAAAAGACACTAGCTAGATAGCTAGCTGTCTGGAGGGAACTGCGTTGCTGCTATTGTCTGTAGTTTCCCATGGTTTTTCTGACCAACACTAAGCGAACACCTGAGCAGTACCCTAACAATTACCACGGGCCGCGCGCGATTTTTCCTTCTCTTGTCGTTTCATCACCCCTTACACACACACACACACACACACACACACACACACACACACACACACACGCACGCACAACCACACATGCCGGGAGACCAATTAGAGGTTGCCCGGCTAGAGCGGTGCTCCGCTGGTTGGAGTCACCTGGTCGGGAAAAAACCCGCTAGCCGAAGTGTTATTGATCGGCGCTGGATCTCCCCATCCAGCGGGGGAAGGTCAGCGCCACCTCCGCAATAAAACATACAAACACTTACGGGACTAAGGACCTTAGTAGATGCGCCTGGAATCTCTAACCAATCAATGAAAAGCTGCTCTTAATGATTGGCATCGATTTGCAAACTTCAACAGAGTCTTTAATTTGCTCTAAATCAAACTTAAGTCTTAAGAACTCATGAGAGAGTGTGCCTTCACAGAGTCAACCATAATCGGCCGCCAACCAGCGACTGTCCCTTCGTCGTTCAGATGGTGGTTTGGAGTAAGGACACTTCCTGCTTTTAGTGCACGATTGCTTGTGAAGCTAAGGAGACCAAGTGCGTGATTAGAACGCGCCGACAGTCTACTGTGCTGAAGGTTGCCCCCCTGTCCTACTTCGAAGCTTTGAACGCACAAGTGGGAACGTAAACCGCTGTTTTGCTCACTACTTTGTTTGGTTCACTGTTTACTTTTTAAATAAGCCCCCTTTTCGGTCATGTAGCTTTTTGCAACGTGCGCTTCTCTGACAGGTGATAGTGTTGGGGCCTAAATTGCGATGATTTACGAAAAATTATGAATTTTTAGTCATTTTGAAAAGCTAATAAAAGTTGCAATTTTTATTTTCAAATTGTTTCCGAGGAAAATTCTTGTCTGCAAACCTAATATTAGTGTTCAGCAACCCCCCAAAAAGGAAGAAACTAAACTTCGAAACTACACAAAACATTCCCTTAATTTCAACTATTGCTTGGACCACTTGGAATTGCACGACACTTAAATCTAGGAAGAAGAAGTAATAAGTTAGTCTGAAGTAAGTTAAGCAACTCGCCTCGTTGAGCACCTGCAGCAGGTCTGCGTCGGCGTGCTCCTGGAAGGGGTCCAGGTTGAGGCGCATGCTGCCGGCGAAGAGCAGCGGCTCCTGCGGGATGATGGCGATGCGGCTGCGCAGGTCGTGCAGCGGCACCTGGCGCGTGTCCACGCCGTCCACCACCACGCGCCCGTCTAGCGCCCAGCACAGGCGGAACAGCGCCGCCACCAGCGACGACTTGCCTGCGCCCGTGCGACCCACGATGCCCACCTGCCCACCAAGCATTTTAAAGCTATTATTTTAGTGATATCAACTTACGAAAAGAACGTTGACGACGTGCCCTCACCGACAGCAGGAGAAGACCAGTAAGGCGGCATGACAATTTGGCAAGACAGATATATTCGTTTAAAGTCATTCTACTAAAGGTAACATAGTAGGTTGAAACATCACCCTCCGAAAACCGATATACAAATTAATAAGTCGCCATGTATTTGCTGCATTATTATTTCCATTACAAAAGAGAATTGTTATTACTGCTAGAACTAATAATTATGATTACGAAACCGAACTCGGTTTCCTAAAGTTTGACTTGAAATAACCACAGTGTATAAAGGAATTTATTTATTTAAATCTAAAATTAAATCTATAATTAAATTTATAAACTTCAATCACCGGTTAAAATACCAAAAACATTTGCCCATTTTCAGCAAAGTTTTCCCAAATTTAATCTTTTTTGCAACCTGAAAACGTTTTAATTAATAAAATTAGCAAAGCGATAAATTAAATTCACTGTACCAGTTTATCATCATTTTAAAACTTTAATATCGTAGCTTTGAGTATTGTAACTTAACTATACAAAACAAGTTTGCAATCACTCAGGTTTACTTAATACGTATTAAATTGACAGTCAATTAAGGACGCTGCGAATATTTGAACTATAAAATATCGTAATCATCTTAAGAAATAAAAAAAAGTCCCGATTCCACAAAATCGGGAATGTGAATAAAAGAAATTTAATGTTTTACAACACATCCGAGATAAATATCGTATCAATTTAGAACTAAGCAATATGCGATTGCTTTATAGAGCTTTAAATTTGATATCGAATATTATAAATATTTTAACAAGGCATTTTAGCAATGCCTTCAGCATCCACATATTGTCAAAATTTGACGTAGGCCTGTATTAATTATCACGAGTTGAATTAATATAAATATTTTTTATAATAATTATGTGATATAAAAGAGTATCTTCGTTTATGAGTGCCATCAAAACGTTGGCAGAGCCAGGAGCGGGTGGAACCAGGAAGGGAGAGCAGAGCGAGTAGAACGGATGGAAAGCAAGGGGCGGGTATTGCGGAAGGACTGGATGGGCGTGGCAGGACGTGTGGCCAGGAATTACGGGCATTGCAGGAAGAGTTGGGCATGTGGGGAAGATAGGTGTAGCGTGCGGGATGGTCAAGGTTGCTTAATGGACAACTATGTTAAATAAATAACAGGGAAATAGACTAAAAAGATGTTAGATAGAAATTGTGTCGTTTACAGAATAGCTTGTTTTATATCTACTCTGAATTTTTGTCTGTTAAAGTTTATTTGTTCTTAACTAAAAATGTGGTTTAGTACACTAAATAACGAAATCAGGATTTTATTTTAAAATTTGTTTTAATATATCTTAACGTATTGAAGGTTATTTTATTAAAGAAATTAAAATCTAGATTATGTAAAAAATTGAAAAATTTAAAATTCCAAACAGTCCTTTGATTAGTAGATAACTAGTAGAAATGTCGACCTTTATGATAATCTCTTTCGTACTTCAGAAAAACTAGACTAACTTCATTATTTTTTTTCGAACCTTCTGCATCATATTTCTCTTATCGCGATGTGTGTTATTACAAGTGTATAGCGTCTCTTACTGTATGCACTCTTACCTTTTGTCCTGGTTGAATCAAGATATTCAAGTTTCTGATTGCTGGAGGGTCGGTTTCGTTGTACCGGACGAACACGTTGTCGAACTTTATCATTCCGAGATCTGGCCATTCAGCATCTATGACTGCACCTGTGCATCAATAATACAGCATACATCTAAACTAAATTGAGTTCCTAGAATTATAAATTTAATTTGTTGAAACTTGTCAAATTTAATTTCTCTGAAAATTATTCTAAATGCACCGAAAGATGCTCTAGAAATTAAATCCACAAAAAATAATTTCCTAAAAAGGATTTGATGTTTGAACAATTTAGCGCCATTTATGATATTAAAATTAAGCTTTCCACTAGAAAAATGCTCGCCCTTTGAATTCAGACCAAATTAGCAAAATGTATTTGAAACTCCACGAGGGTGTCCTACCTTTGGTGTCAGGTTCAGGCTCTGCCTCGAGGCAACTGTACTCCACGATGCGCTCCACGCTCATCATGTTGTTGGCGACTTCTGCGGATTGGCGCACGCCCCACTGCAGCAGGCCGGAGAGTGCCATGCACTGCGTGATGGCCAGCCCCGGATGGCCCCCGATCACCACCGACATATGATCTGTGCATGTGGCGCGCCATTGCAACAATTCCGGGATGAAATGAAACTGGGATATGACAAGGACGCGATACAGCAACAATACTAGGCACATCTGCTACAATAAGCCTCCATCTGTACGAAAATGTCAACATTTCGGTTTTGGTGCAAGAGTCATTTTGTTCCTAAACAAAGCTCTCCAATATGAAGTCATAGTACGAAGATAAGCTATGTTTGGACAAAAATAGAGATGTTAATATTTATGGTATGTTCTGCGTATTATATAGAAGCTGATTAGGTGTCTCGTGAGCTGTAATGTTCCACGCCAGTATCACGTGGGTCGCATGTATCTTCTGGAGATGAACCCACACCTCTCGCCAATAGGCAGTTCCCTTGTTCACCTTCAAGTGTTCTATGGGAGCCAACCTCAGCACCACTGTTCCAGTGGCATGTTTTCGCCGTTCATGCCACTCGTACGAGTTAAAAAAAAATCGTAGTCTCATCAACCGAAGGTTCTTAGCGATTTCAATATTTTAAACATTCAATATTTGATTTAACATTTATTAAATATACAGTACAGCTATTAAAATAGCAGCGAGATTTAATTAGTTCATTATTTGCCACCCAATCTTGATTAGTTTGATACATGTACAGGAATCCACATATACGTTATAAAATATACTAGTATTCTAGCAAAATGTTACCCTGTTGGTAAGGCTTAAAATGGTTGCTTCGGATTGTTACTCTGGTGGTAGATGTTCTTTTTCTTCCTGTAATTTAAGGAAGACGTTCACTATATGCGTTGCAGTTAACCTCACAAGTCACAGAGGCGCGGGTAGTTTGTGGAACAGATGCGAATGTGTTATGTTAGTATGTCCGGAGCGATATATGGATAGCACTATTTGTTCTCGCCTAGTCATTTGTTTATCTATATATATTGAGAAAAAAAAGTTGTGTTTTGTGGAGATGGCCGACTTTTCAATTTGGTTCATTCTTGATTCCTGTTAACATTCTTTTGTTCGAAAATTTTAGAATATCATTCGGAGTTAACGTACATAGGCCGAGCGCTTGATTGTATAGTGTCCTGTAACTTGCTAAAAATACTTGGGCCAGCTGAGTTGTAAATGATCGATCCATAGTCTTACTTCTAATAATTGCTTTATAAGTAAGAAGCTAGTTGTGTATATTCGCGCCCCCAGTTGTCGTGGTTAAGATATTTGAGATAAGTGTTTTTACAGTTGTCAATCAACTTCTGAATACGTTGTTTCCTGCTCAATTTGTTATTAAAGTATCAGCCTAGGATTTTAGTACAGCGGACCACAGGTAGCACGTGGGAAACCAGTTAGACATCGCACAAGTTAAACCTAGTATCAATTGCCATTTTTCATTTCACCAAAATAGAGATCTTAATATTTAGGGTATTGGGAGGCTTTATGCGGCTGCGGTGGCTTAACGTGTTCCTGACGTAAGCCCTTCATTTCATTTAAAACTTTGACAATTGTTTCCTTATCGAAAGTAATGTTGGAAAGCAATTAAAGGAGGAGAGGACAAAAAATTGGACCATGCCACTGAAAGTATCTTTAGTAGACATCACTTCCAACAAATTGCTCCTCAAAATTATAATTTTATTTTACCGTTTTTACTGTTCAAAAACGTAAGTTACAGGAAATAGAATAATGAAAAGAAGTTACAATTTAAAATTCATATTTCCCTTCTCTTCGACTGAAACCAAGTAATCTTTTAGTATTCTGTTCAATAAAAAGCGATGATACGACATAGCTAAACGAACAAGTGTGACAGTATTTCAATGCACAGGACTCGTTTCAAAACACAATTTGCAAGGTATCAAAAACCATACTTTTTATTCAGTTTTTGTAATTTCCCTCTATCACACAGCCCCCTCTGCAGTTAATTTCCTATGTTCGGCGTTACGTGTCGCCAACTTTTCTTATGTGTTCCCATCTGAGATTGAACTATTATCCCTGAAGTGCGAAAGGTTCAGTCAGATCACAATTTACGCAGCGATTTCCGGAGTTAAACATTGTTCAAGTTACGGTTGATTTAGTTAGGCAGTCTGGTTAAAGACGGACCATACATTCTTGTTAATGGCTTCCCTTACATAACTCCTTATCTTGACCGCAGGGGAACAATTAGGATGGCACGTTAGTTTAGAGGAGCATAATCAACCCGATTCATTTTAGACTACACATTTACTCTGATTTATTTATCCAATGTAAATTGACTTCTACAGCGTTTTAAGTACCCAGAAGAAACGTGACTATGTAGGGTTTTAGAACCTATCGACCGAAAATCCGTAATGTACTTCCTGATATTTTATTTTTAGAGGCCCCATCAGATCGATTTAAGGAAAAAAATATTTGTTTCTGGATGTACAATAAATAGAAGCACATCATCTAGAGCACAGGTTACTATTTCGCGTAGCTGTGATGCATTGTAGGTTCGTAAAAACATTGCTTTCGGGCTGTAGAGGCAGGAGTTAATTTTTGTAGTATACCCTTCATAGGGCAATTAAACCCTTGCGTTATCTCCAAATCCATTAAAAATCTTAATACCTATTATATTTTATGCCATATTGAATCGCACGAGTGGTAGTCTTTCACATACTCTCAGTACGCGAATGGTATGCAACACACTGTTCTGGGCCTGGCCGTTGGAATTTGAATTTCAGCGTGAAACCATTTTAAAGATTTAGAACTATGATTCACAAAGTGTGGAATGATCGCAGGAATTCAACTAATTTATTTACAAAATAGTTACAGCGTTAGCGAAAAATTTAGTTAAAAATATCTGGAATCTTACTTTACTTCTAATACATTTAAAAAGCCATCAAACTTTAAAAAAATCTAAGTATGTGAAAAATGTACATTTTTTTTTTGGCGCCTTCATCCTTGACGTCTGGATTTTAAAAAAATTACATCATATTTTCATTTCACCTACCTTCCATGAATAGTGATCCAAACGTGATAAATCCGATGAAGATGCACACCATCCAGTCGAGAAAGAAGCCGAATGCAGTTGATGCCGCCATGAAAGTGTACCACGCAGATGTGTGCAAGTCCTAAATACAAGACGTAACTTCAGAGAGTACACAGACCTTTATTAGTATTACTTATGACAGGTGACCACACTATAGGTGATAGATCCGAAAAGTGGAATAGCCTATGTTAGGAACACTTCACACTTCTCTGATCAGGATGAGAACCTTCTAGACTGTTGAGATAAGAAACCGAATTTTGAACGAGAGGTTTCGGTTGGCTTACCTGATGCTTATCGAATTCTTCACATAGAACTCCTTGAGCATCATTGGCGCGAACTGTGGGCAATCCTCTCATGGTTGCATGGAAGTGAGAGAAGACTGGACTTTTTGCTGCAAAGATCGTTTATTAGTAATATGATGCAAGACTATTTCCAAATAACTCAGATACTTACTCATGCCCTCAATTCGTTTTAGGTTGTTTGATGTTTTGAGGTAGATCATTGTGCTGTACCAAAATATAATTCCCATAACCAGAACAGGTATTGGCAAGTAAAAATTTGCAGTCAAAGTAAGAGCAATGGATCCCATCATTTGCATAATTATCTGTAACGGCAAACATTAAATATAAAGATGACCAAGATACTCTCCTTTTCCCATGCGATCACACACTCACTTGAATTGCGTTCAGAATAGTCCTCGGGAGTACTTCGTCAACAGTGCCCATGTCTTTTGTAAACCTGTTGAGAATTCGGCCTGGAAGAAAAGAGTTAAATGAATGTAACTTATTGAGAAATTGCAACGTAAAAACAGCATATTTAAAGGTGAAAAATGATTCTTAATCGAACACAACAATCGTCAACGTCAACTTCTATACGGTGGTATGCCTAATTTAATGTGCTTGCTTTAACACTCGCTAACAAAAATTGTATTATATACATTTATAAGACTAATATTTGCACATTACTTTGTCAGTTTCATTGATATGGTGAGAAAAGTAGCATGCATTTTACGAAAGAAAGGAAAATACGATTTTATTTTCTGTTAGTTATTTCCTCGGTCTGTATTTATTCAAAACTATTTTAAACAGTCTATTCGGATTACAAAAACCATCATTCGTTTAAATAATTGCGCGATTTAAAATTGTTTTATTTTAAGTAATAAGTCGCAATTTTTGCGTTTATTTTACTGCGCCTGACATAGCGCCACGTGTGTTCAATTATACGGGTGTAAATATCCCACGCTGATCCCATCTATGATCTTTACATTAACACAATGCTAGCGATTAAGAGGAGATTATCACCCTAGATTTGTTTAAACAATTTTAAATGTTCAAGAACAGTTTCTTGCAACTGTTACAAGTGTGGCCTTCGTTTTTCGTGCATCCATGCAATTCGTATATAAATGTAAATCATAACAATTTACGTGGTATGCCTAAACGTACCTGCGGGGTTAGAATCAAAGAACGAAATCCTGGTCTTTAACACACTCAGAAACATCCTTTCGTGCAGTTTACTGGAACACCGCATGCACACCTTGAAAAAGGCGAACGAGCGCACGAGAGTCACAGTGAAGAGAGAGAAAATTAGCGAAGCGTAAATGATTATGCTCAGCTCCAGGCTGAGAAAAGGCTTCGGGACGTCCTGCAGTGATGCTTTGTGATTGGTAAGATTGTACCAGAACTGTGGTTGGGTTATGCTTTCGTTGAATATTTGCATTACAGTCTCTCGCCTCACTCTAAGTTCGTCTTGATAAGTCCTGAAAAAAAAAAAAAACACCCGTTGCAGATGTTTAAATTAAGGCCTTATAATAAAACTACGGAGAAAAGAGTCAATTTTTTGAAAATTATTCCCAAACCCAGGTTTTACTCAACTAAACGTCCCCGAAAAATTTTTGAAAAACTGTCAGCTCTGTTTCTCTTGGAAAGCAGAGTTAATGAGGGTAAATGTAAACAGGAGCAATTGTATTTCCTAAATGAATACATAAAGTATTTAATATTTTCTAAAAATTAAAGTGATCCCGGCGACAAGATTCGATGAAAACTCGCTCGCAATCGATAAGGTTCGCCATTTAAGCATCATCACAATTTACCTTCTTTTGCTTGAATACACTTCGTTTATGTTTGCCTCGGTTTAGACTACTGCAATAAACTAGGAAGTAGTTGCTTGTTCACATTGATCCAGCAGTCTGATATAGGACAATTTTTATTGATTTTATTGAATTTAGTGTTTTATTTAAAAAATCTCGCACAAATCTTTTACTAAGAGTATAAGAATTGACGAACTAAAATATTAGTAAAATTTATAGAAGTGAAACACCACTTTTGTTATCTTCATTAACACTACTTTCTTCTTAACATTTTTGAGAACCTAAGTGTGAAACAACATAACAAAACCCATTACCGTCTGCTACGTTTGGTATATCAGTATATTATTTAGCTCGTATTTAACTAGTATTTATATATTTTTTAGCTCTCACCATGAGATTCATCATCTCACCATGGTAGAGAGTTGGTATTGCAATTTTTTATCAAGGTTTCTATTTAGAGAAATACTGCGATATTACAATACTCACCAGCATATACTGTACATCATTTGTCCCAGTTTTCCGGAGAATTAATTACAAGAGAGAACACTAAACAAAATATAGATTGTGTTATTGTAACTTCTTACCACAGGGAAACGAAGTAGTCTACACCACAGACGAGAATTTGAGTACTCAGAAAAAGAAAAGCCAATGTTAAATTTATGCATATATTTGATCCACTGCGTACGTATTCTTTGTACACAGATTTTCCTTGTATTTGACCTTTAGAAGACTCCTCCATCGAGTCAAACGCCCAGCAGGACGTGTCCTCTTCGGGCGCGCTCCCTTTTGAAGGAAGTACCTGCAATTAAGAAGTATCGTGTTAGTTTTGGTTCTTTTCTTCTCTGAACAACAACAAAATTGACGCAGTTCTTACCTACAAGCCAGTGTTAGAATAGTCATGCAGAGCGTGTTCTAGGTTATTTGGAAACTAGGAATCGTGAGATTGCGTGATTACAGAAGGAATTGACTGGGAACTTGACAGATACGACACCGCCGTAGTGTTCACTGCCCGGACCACACTGGTGCTACGATTGACTATTCCTTTGACCTACACAAACTGCGGTAAGTAGTCATTCAACAAAATAGTATCAACAGTAATTTTTCCTTAGGAGACTGAAATTATTTGTTATTGCGTACATTAATCATGAAACTGATCTCGTCGTTGCAGAAGAAAATTGGCATGTAAAAATCGCAACTTTTAGTGAAGTGCAAATGAAGTTCAGTTCCTTTTTGAAGGAAACTGAACATTTTTTACTATAGTGGAGATTATTTCGGAGGGTTCTCTCTTAGCTCCGTGGCTACAAGTACAATTTTTTCCTCGTAAACGTTAAGGTGTTTTCTAAAATTATGCTTTTTGATGAAGTGATGTAAATTGTTTCTATTTCAGGGGCAATCATGTTCTAAGTAGATGCTATGGAAGCTCATTCTTTATTCTTTCGTACTCTTACATTACATGCACAAAATTGAGCTCTTTTCGTAAAATCATGTTTTTAAAATTTCATTTCACGCAAGATTTTGCAAACAAAATTTTACTTTTGTAAAAAACAATATAATCATTTAAAGATGTAATTTTGAAGAACAGATTAATTAAGAAAAAATATATCTTCAATATCATATAGTTGTAGGAAGACTATATACACATTTTAAAACTTTCATACAAATTTCGAAATTTGAGAGAGTTCAATCAAAATCGGACTTGCAGAATTTTTATATGCTTGCTTTGCTCTATTTGAGAAAAAAATAACGAAAAAATTAGTAGCCGTTTTTGAGAGAATTTGGAAAAAAGCCTTCGAGGTTTCACGTAAGTACCCTCAAAAAGGAAAATATCCTTTTCGAATTCAACGGGGGCGCGACATCAGTCAGATCAATCACGGAATAATAGTTTTGGTGAAAATCCTCCGTGCAGTTTATCCGCTAGCATTGTTCACATACAGACTGATGTTTTGCCATAAATTTTTCGATATTTAGGTCTCGCATGACTTACTACGTTTGACTCTTATTATATAACATGTTAGAGAAAGAAATTGGCAACATGCAGGAATAAGAATTATCCACTTTTTTCTGCATTAGGAACCTACAATAGGCATTATCTGCCGAAAACACCAGTTTTATGCTGTAGAATGTCATTACTTTCTCTATTTAAGTAGTATGCGACAAAGTAAATAATGTTCCCAATATCTCCAGTTAATTGACCATTTTTTCGCAGCAAAATAAACGGCTCCGCCCAGGATAGAAAAATTCTCCTGCCAAACGACTTTTTAGGCGTGTCATTTTTATTGTGCACAAACTCTGCATGTTGGAAACTATCTTCAAACAAGATGTTTAAGAGAAGAGATTCAAACAAAACGCTGATAAACAAAAGACAAGTCAAGCGCCTGATAGTTAAAGACTAACTATTAGGGGGTGGGGAATGAGTTGCTTTTAGAACGATTGTAGTCATTGAAATAGAAGGCAAGGAGAGCAATACCTGTATGTCTATCTTCTCATTGGAATCTCTGCTGGTTAACTTCACACCAGAGGAGGGCCCTGGCCGAGAGAACGCCTTGAGGTCACCCCGGCCGGCCAACGCGCAACCCTGCTAAAGAACATAATGGATTTGTTAATAGAATTTATTATTTTCTATCTTTAAGCTGTACACATGCTATATTTTAAAATAGTATTGGGTTGTACAAGAATCTCGCGTGTTGTTTAAAAGTAATAACGGTTGTAAAATCATTGCTGAAAATCTTTAGTTTGGTATGCTTTTACCTACGTACTATTAATTAATTCTTAGGAGTTTTACTTAATACAAGAAAAAAATGGAATGTCGGGAAATTAGTCTATGGGGAGTTGCTTGTTGAATTGAAGATAGCAGCAGAAATGTGCTACCGAACACCATTGCAAGATTGAAAGTAGTGACGTAGTTAGATAAATCTAAGCTGAGGACAAAAGACAACTTTGTTCTCAAATTTTCTCGCCGACTCAGAAAACCATCCACTTCTCAGAGAGCATCCCAATACAAGCTTGCATGTTGGATAAACTATTTAACAACAGTCCGATTAATTAAATTACCCGATCCATTGAGATGACGAGATCCGCGTGCTGGGCGTAGTGCAGGTGGTTGGTAACTAGCAGCGTGGTCTTGTTGGCCAGGAACTTGCAGATGCACTTCTCGAAGAGCTCCTGTGCCACGCAGGTGTCGAGCGCCGCCAGTGGTTCGTCCAGCAAGTAGATGTCGGCATCTCTGGAAATCGCATGGTAAAAACATTTCTCGTTTTCAATACAATATCCATGTAAGCTTTTCCTCGACACGCGATGAAGCAAGTAAGAAAGCATATCTGATTATCTAGCATGTAAGAGGTGGAACATAGTTGTTTAAAATTAACACTCTTTATACTGACACCCATTAAAGTCATTGCATCATTAGTTTTTCATGCTTAGTATTAAGACTTGTTTATAACATTACTAACTAAAATTGCGATTAAATAAAGCTTTTACTCTAGAAACTAATGTTACACGACACTTATTTTAAATGCTAGAGAAAAGGGAATTGTTTGATAAAAGGCTCACAAGAATTTATATTTCTACCCAGATGTTGAGAAATTGTTTAGTTTTGGAACATAATTTATAATTAAAGGGTAATCATTTTAATTTAGAAGGGTGAATTCTGACGGTTCTACGGGGAGTAGTGTATTCTGAGCACGTTTTCTAAATTCTGGCATCCCTACCAAGTTGAATTCAGAACACAGAAAGAAACTAGCGTTTTCAGCAAACTATTCGCTCCGACGTAATACAAATGGGTACCTGTAGAGGGCGCGCGCGAGGTTGAGGCGGGCACGCTGGCCGCCGGACAAGGCGACGCCCTGGTCCCCGACGAGCGTGAGGTCGCCGCGCGGCAGCTGCGCCAGGTCGCGGTGCAGCACGCAGGCGCGCAGCACGGCCTCGTAGCGCGCGCGCTCCAGCGGCCGTCCGAAAAGGATGTTCTGGCGCACCGTCCCCGCGAACACCCAGGGCTCCTGGCTGGCGTAGGACACGCGCCCGCGCAGCACCACGCCGCCCTCCAGCGGCGGCAGCTCGCCCAGGATGGCCTGCAGCAGCGACGACTGCGCCCGCGCCGCGCACCACCACCGTTACACGCGTTACGTTAGTTACCGATTACGAATATGAATGGGTGAAAATCAGAACGGTGTTAGTGACATTTTATAAATTCTGGAAAAAAAAATGTTTTTAGGATATATTTTAGTGGCGATGCATTTTTGTGATTTTAATGATACGGTTTCAATGGTGAAACAGAGCACCACGATTTTACAGTGATATCGACTTCAATAAACAGATTTATCGCTCGATTTCATACATATGTATTTTATAACTAACTAAAAATATATGTCACTTATACCGTTGTGGTTTTTACTCGTTCATATATGCGTAAACTGAGTTTACGTTTTTGTAATTGTATACATTTAAATGGTTATGTAAAATAAATAATGCACGCAAACAATTGCGAATATACACAACCATATATTATAGATATAGTGTGTAATTCAATAAAAATTTAGATGGTAACAACATATTGATGTTACCATTACTTATTTAGAATCAAATGGATTTTGTTTAGTATGATCTTTTATTGAGCCAAATTTTGTGATTTTTTAAAAGGTAATGGGTCGTATTTGTCCTATCACTTATTTATCTATCTTGTATTAAAAACACAATAACATTTCCATAACATAATTAATTGATATACGTCCATATGCTCTCTTTTGTTTATCTCCGTTTTGTTGTAAGAGTGAGTTTATCGAAAGCAGTCATGTCGTCTCGCGCAAACAAACGTCCGTGTGTGAAGTTTTAGTTAGAGAAGCGAAGATCACAAGCTTTTTTTGATGTAATAAGATAATCAAATTTTTAAGGGTTTCAGTCTTGTTAACGAGGAAAAAAGTGGTAGCAATGACGAAAAATTGAAAGAGGCAATGTAGGTACCTTCCCGGATCCAACGGGCCCGATGACGGCGGTGAGCGTGCCCTTCTTGAGGAAGACGTTGATGTTGTCGAGCGTGAGTTTGGTGTTGCGCGGCTCCCACTTGGCCGAGACGCCGTTCAAGGACACGGCGAAGTCCTCCTCGCCGTCGAACTGATACTCTGAGCTGGTAGAGGGCTCTTCGAACACGGGCCGGCCGTTCTGCTCGGAGCACGTGCTCAGCACCGACCGCCGCCGGTAGCGGTCCTCCTCCGTCAGCTCTTGCAGCATCATGAATTTCTGAGACAAGCACTTCCCGAATCAAGGCAGTGGACTAGGTGGCGCAGAGCATCAGTTGATGTCACTTCAGTGCCTCTGACCGAGAGGTCCTTCTGTGGGAGGCCCCCCTGTGTTGAGATTTTTGACACTATCTAGACAGCTAGATAGAATTCAGTCACTATGTGGAGGAGAATTGTAGCGCTCGACTGCTCTGATCGCTAATTTTTCGCGGTTTCTTCAATCAACATTAGGCGAATGCTCGAATGGTATCTAAAAACACTGGCCCCTATGGTGCTATCTTTTCTTCTTCTTCCTTGACCTATCCTCGCCCCCCCCCTTGCTTTCACCCACGCGCACTTTCATGCACTATACTACCACACATGTCTGGATCTTTGAGCTTGTCCCGACTGGGGTGGTGCCTCAGGCGAGCTGAGGTGAGTTTACGTAGTGGTCTGCGCCGGATCTTCACCACCCAGCTGGGAAAGATCACCGTCACCTCCCGAAATAAAACTTGCACTACACTTACAGAACCAATGGCCTTGGAAGTTGACGCGCCCAGAATCTCTAAGCAATCTGTCAATCTAGTCCGATTGTCCTCTTACTCTCTCCAGGAAGTTAATGGACAGAGTCGAGGAGTGAGTGAAAATTTATCGTTTCCGCGCGAGCCAACATCTTAAGTCATTAGTTCTGTAAGTGTGGTGTATGTTATATCGCGGAAGACTGTTCCTGCCCCACTGGAATGTCAGATACGGCGCTGGCCTAGACGACGGTTTGCGGGGTTTCGAGGTGTCCTCAGCTGGGCATCGCCCTGCGTGTGTGGGGTATACAGACACTAGGATGAAGGAAATATTGCGCGCGGACATCCGTTTGTTTGTCGCGTACTATCTGTAAAACCACGGAAAACATCAGGGTAGTAAAATTAAATACGATCAAGGCAGCCGGCCGCTAACACATGTTTAATTCGACAAAGATTTGTAGCTAGAGTCTAAAACCCGTTACCACAGGGACCCTGACCCTAGGACCTTCCGGTGTGTACTAGTGCAGAGACTAATGTATTCAACATCTTGTCAGAATTGGAAGTTAACTTAATGGTTAAATTACAATAAAATTTTATTGTATTTCTTATTCCAATGTCATTGTTTATCTACAATTGTCCGTATTTGCTTTTAGTGTTTTCAATAAAAATATTTGATCCCTTTTAATATTTGAGGAATAAGAATGCTTGTTTAGTAGATTCAAAAAATAGATTTTCAATGTGATATATACTTACCTGTATCCTTTTTATAGAAACTCTTACTTCTGCTAATTCAGTCAGACCTCGTCCAAAATTCACCGAGACTGCATGAGACAGCACATTGAAATAAGACTGCAGTACAAATATCTGTTGCAAAAGAGGCAATTCTTTTAATTATTTTCTTGCAACGAAAGTTAAATGATCAGAGCACACGTGCTAAATAAGAATGTTATCGATTTGCTTATAAATAAAGTCGCAACAGAGTGATTGTTCCAGATGGGGTACAAAACCGTCCTTACCTTTCTACTCGTGAGGTTCTCGTGGTACAGTGCCATTACGATCATTGTGCAGAAGAAGGCCGTTCGGGTGGTGCAGAGACTGAGGGTCATGTAGAGGCCTCTCACGTACGAGGTGATTCTCAGAGAGCCAATTTCTCTCCTTTACAACACACGAACACGACTTTGTTGAAAAATGTATTATTTAATATAACTAATAAAAATGCTGGCGGTGATCTTTCCTCCTTTTGTTCATAAAATTCAAATGCAGAACAACCAAACCATCACCACCACCATCGAGTAAAACAAATTAAAATATAGCGTCGTACCGTCTGGCGGCGTTGACTAGCCCGATGAAGGGCTTCTCCCAGGCGTACATCTTGATAGCTCGAATGCCCGACACGATGTTGTCGACTAGGCGCACCCTGTAGTCCGTGCGGTAGGCCGTCTTGGAGCGGTACATGGCCGAGAAGTGGCTCATGGAGCCCTGCAGCGGCAGCGCGGCCAGCACCGTGAACGCGCCGACGAAGGCGGGCCAGCCCACCTCCAGGTACATGAAATGCACGGCCGAGGTGGTGAGCAGCGGCGACAGCCACAGGTAGTGCAGGAACATGGTGACCTTGTCGAAGCGGCCGACGTCGTTGGAGAGCAGGTTGACGATCTGGCCAACGGGGATGCCGCCCATCGCGGTCTGGCTGAGGCGCAGCGCCTTGCGGTACAGCATGGCGCAGCATGCCGTGCGCATGCGCATGCCCAGCTGCCACGACCCCAGCGCGTAGTGGCTGTAGAGCAGCGTGTTGAGCGCCGTCGACCCCACGATGCCGCCCGCGTGCAGGAAGGCGAATGTCCTGCTCTCCTGAGCCGGCGCCGCGAAGTAGTCCAGCAGCAGGCCCAGGAGGAGCGGCTGCACCACCCTGCGCATGGCGCGACCAACGTAAACTTAGCCTTTGAATCTTAACAGTCCGAGGTTGATGAAAGATTTCATTCTTAAAAGAATTTTTAGGAAGCGAAATAACGAAAGAATTATTCTCCCTGTAATGACAAAGTCCTATTGTAACATTGACCTAATATTCGCTACTTACAATCCTCCTGAACCCCAAGGAAAAAGTGAAATGAGGTTGTTACTTCATCTAACTAAAGTTAGGAACGGGGAACAATGAGAAAAGTATTGTGTGCCTTACACAGCCCTTTGTGTAAAGTTACTACCCGAATTGACGGAAACTACTGATCAGAGCCCTGGCCTATAGAATTTCATTCAAACCGCAGCATTGCCCAACCCAGACTATACGTGTCGAAAATTTCTCAGTTTGATTTGATCCTAGGTATAAGAAGCTTCCATTTATCTGTGCACACGGCAACGCACCTTCACAATAGAATGCCTTAGAAAAATTACAATTAAATTAAATTTAACAACTAACAGAAGTCACTTTTAAGTTTGTCTATTCATTATATCGTTAATAAAAAGTGGAGGAAGAAAAGAAGGCTGCTTGGAGAGTTATCGGATTGAGAGAGTACTTACCCAAGGAGAATGCCATGCGTGAAAACCAGGAGGCCCAGCAAGATGTACTCGGCAGCGAACACTTTGACGATGGCCCATAGAAGGCTGGGTGAGCGTTTTCCTTCCAGTCCCCCACACGCTTCCACTTGACGTCGCCATTCCCTATAAAGATACTCACGTTATTACTCAGACACCTAAAAATTAAAATGATATTTTGCTTGCCACGTGTGCGGGTGGTAGATATGTTGGAGTGTATGGTCGTGTATAAAGAACATTTGTTGCAATGTAATGTAACATGTTCTTAGTCCCATTAAAAGTGTGAATTTTCATTTAAAGTTATTTTCCTAAAATGTAATGTTTAATTGTGAACAGTGAGGAATAAAATTTCTATTTCTTTGTCGATGTAGTGTCATTATTATTTTGTGGATGTCGCAGTTTTTTAATCCGTATCATCTATATTTGCAGCTAGCTTTCTGTGAAGTATTAGGTCTATAAAGTTAATTCGTATGGAGTAACATTACCTCAAAAGCTTTGCACACTAGCATAAATACTTCATTAGATTTTCAGAATGGCCACATGCTTCCGACTAATACTTTTTTCTATGTAACCTTGTTGGAGGAGCATGCCAAGTCGCTTTAATTAGCTGTCTTTATCCCATAGCCTACAGAGTAAACAATGCGTCACAAAATCTTTGTTAAGAGCTCTTGCCGTATGTACCACGCTTCCCATCTCCTTTCAGGGCGAGAGCTAAGACGCTGTCATCGAATACGAAGTGATATGCCAGGCGAGTCCCTACTGCCACGCCTAACATGTGCTTCTCTTACCGCATGGTAAGGAAAGTCATTTCCTTTTCAGTTTGTACCAATACCAGCGAGCTCTTACTGTAAGCTCACTCAATTGTGTTTAAACTTTGCGTGAGTCTTTCAGCTCAGGCACAGAGTTATGAAATGGGAAATATCTGCACATCTTGTGCGAGAGGGGGTGGAGTACGAGACGGGGCGGAGTGCCTTCTGATAATGCTGACCAAGTCGGTCAGTGCTAATGAGTAATAGAATGTTCCCGTCGGAGGAGGCAATGTAGAAACTTTTTCGATGTGTAAATTAACGCTCAAATCCGCTATATCACCCAGCCAACTTAAAATAATATTGAGTCGTGAGACCTGCAAAAATAGTGGCGTAGTCCTTACACATTGGAACTTACCACAGAACCATTATGAATAAGATTTCATGAAACAAATTCATTTAAAAATGCTTTGAAACTACTACTGCTTTACACGAGCAGAACATAAAAGTGTAGCAAAGCGAGAAAGTAGGTGCCCGATGCGTTTCATCCCTGCGTGCGTGAAACTAATGGATTGAGTGTTGAATAGTCTTAGAAAACTGCCATTACCTCTCAAGTCGATCTGCCAGCAGCTGCGATTGGTCCTCGCTCAGCGGGTCGTCGAGGTCCTTGGCGGTGAAGTCGCGCTTTAGCCCGTTGCGGAAAATGCGCCATGTCCACCTGCGACCATAAGTAGATTAGAACAGACGTCCATGCCCTTGGCCGAAACACGCGAAGCTACCGTGTGTACACTTCCGTCTATAGAATACATTTACAACCAATGAGCAATGACTGACTTGTTGGCAGAAGTGGATGGATGGTTTCTTTATATGTTGTGAGCCTAGCTCTTGAGCGTGCTAACTTTACCTTCTACAAAACTATAACTAATTTCACCTTCTAGAAAACTCAATTGTATTGATGCATCCTTTGTTGTAAACCTCGACACACTTTAAAGGTGAATGAAGGTTGGGAATCCAAATCATCTGGTTTACGTAGTTTTCTTTTCATAAGATATATTTTGAAGGAACTCGAGATGTGTTCATTCCAAAACATAATTTTAAAATCAATATACAAGTTTTGCATTGACAAGTATTTTCTGTTGTCGAGTTTCGTTCAATTGGATTTACTTTTTATTTACATTTTATTTAGTCTAAGTTACTGACAAATTTTAAGTTAACTTTAATCTTTTAATCTAACATTAAAATCAAGTAGTAAAGGATTTCGTAGCAAAAAGAGTGTCTTTATTAAGTGCACGAAGTAAGTCTTTATTAAGCGTCTTTATTAAGTGGTTTTTCATAATCGAAAATTAAACTTTCTGACGGATCGTGTATCGGAGAAAAAATAAGTCTTACACCATGGAAAAATATTTTTTCTGTCAAAAATAAACTACCTTTACTACTACCGTATAAAAATTAGAATATTAGAACACATTTTGGACTTTAGTATTGGAGTAAGCCGTTTGACACCTCGGAACAGCAGTGAACTGCGTAGGGCCATGTCTGGGGAGTGTGAAGAAGGATATATTAATTTATACCACTATGTACTTAAAGTGGACGACTTTCCTTCAAAAAATCTAGTTTTGGGCTGAGAGGATGATTGTGATACCTAGAAGTGAAGTAAGCAGTTTCATATTTTACACACAATATAAAACATTCGTTTTATTACGCTTTAAATATGTTGATGTCCTGTTTAACGGGACCAACGCTCTACAATTCTCCTTAAAATAGAAAAACATTCGCGAGGCTTCCTTTGTTGTGCGGATAACTACTCTTTTCTTTGCTCATGAGCTGATAAGACAGCGCGAGTGAAACTGTAATCATTTGCGAATGTGAAACTGCGGAATACGTGACCTATCAGATACTCGTTTAGTTTTGTTCATGTGGCATGTCTGAGCTGCTTTTACGCAATCGTCCTTCACCGGAATATTAAAACAGCTTCTTCGCGAATTCCGTAATCCCTACGAAGAAAAGCGTCTTCAAATGTATGGAATGAATGCTGATGATTATACGAACATTCTATTTATTCAAAATTGAAAGTTGGACGAATCATTTTTCTATTCTGAATCCAATAGAGTTTGAAATGGTTTGAAACGTCTTTCGAATTATGTTTTCCATTAATAATAATAATAATAATAATAATAATAATAATAATAATAATAATAATAATAATAATGAGCAACTGTCAAAGAGAAAATATTAGGCGAAAAAATTTGTCAATGAAAATATCTCGAAATAAGTTTAATTGCAATTCATTAAACGAATATTTTACGTTCAGACATCAGACACACAGAACATTACGTTCAGACACACAGAAAATGGCTGGAATGTTACTTTACGTCATGTCGTTTTAAAGTAAAACACTTTTTTTTTTTGCCTCAAAACATTACAAACAGAATAAAGAACTAATCATATCTTTCGAAATTTTTGAAAATTAAATCCAACGGAAATTCCAAAACTAATTTTTCAGGATGATGAAATTCCAGTATCCCTACTCTAACCCCCAAGTTAATTCCGAAGTAACAATGTGCATGGCATAGAAACGTAAATGCCCAAGGTGATATTGAAGCACTGAACTATTGTTTTCGTTGTTTAGAATTCATCGCGGAATTCTAAAAAAAATATTTCAGTTAATGCACGATTAAAACAGCAATACAGGGTCTTAACGCTCAAAAGATCATCTCGTATTGTACAATGTACAATCAGAAACATGATAATGTAATTAAATTGAAATGTCATCTTCAGGCCGTGACTATGGCTATGATGTTCGTTGATCATTAAAACATTCAAAATGTTTTTCTTTTTTTTCCTCTTGACGTTACATCATTTCAAATACTTGTTGAGCAAAATTGTAATCCGATATTAGATATCGTCGGCGCTCAACGAACGTTATGTCATAAACCATTTTTGCAGAATGACTTATTTTGGTTGCGCGTCTAGGTGGCGAGTACTTTACTTTCAGATATCTTAACCCTCAGAGCGCGGCTTCGATCTCGTCGAGATAAGTGGATTTTCGAAGGTGGAAAATCTAGAGTGGCCTTTTAGTCCCTACAGCATGTTCATGGACGCAAAATTAAATCTCTCTAAGAATTCCCGTTCAAAACAGATTCCGTAACCGCTTTGTCGAGGAAGATTTGAACAACGAATAAATACTACAGAGACCAATGAAAAGGCATTTTCTAGCGGATAAAGTGGAAGTCAACATTCACCGGAAAGCCCGGTTGCCTTTAGAGTGCGAACTAAAAAAATTACAATCGTGGATCAATCTCTAAGAATTACTTTACAAAAAACGAACGAAAAAACAAAACAAAAAAATCAAGGGGAAGCACAGGAAGGTTTTCGCAGGTAATGTTTTCTCTCGATTTTGAGAACTATCTCAATGAAATGTTTACTAATAATAAAGCTATTCTCTATACATATGTATTCTCTTAGTTCAAGCACTATGTTTGAATTGTGTTACTTTTTTGTGGTCTGATGTTTCAGGAATTTCTTTCGTGGAATTTTAAAGTTTTCTTTCAATACAATTTTGTGCGAAAATTTGAATAAAAGCAGCACTTAAACGAGTTTAATAGGTCTGGTATACGTGTCGAAAATAAACTTTTGTATAAGTTGTTACGTGACCCCCAAAATAATCTAGAACGTGTTCAAGCAAGACAAAAATCTCTTCACGTGCGCACAATACGTATTTGGTTCACTTGTGCAGAGAGCAGTGACGATAAGAATGAGTATTTTGACGTCGAGAAACTTATTTAACGCATGAACACGTGATTAGCGGCGCGTCGGCACATGTTAAGCGATGAAAATTATAAGTTGCTAAGGTCCACTTCATTATAGTTAACGATTCTAATTTGCGAGCGATCTCCGATGCATGCTTTCCACTCGACGGGCTCAGTGTGCCGCTGCCTTCAAGATTCAAGGTACTGCGTGGAAGATCCAGGGTGCACATCAAACCATGACCGACGGTGCGAAACAGTGCCCATTTGCGAGGGTTGCAACTCACCCGAAGAACACGGCTGACAGCGGGTTGGCCAGCTCCCGGGCGCACGGCCGCGCTCCCGTGCGGCGCGATCCGTCCATGAGAAGTGCGCGCCGCCGCTGCCAACGCGATCACTGGGAAGGTGCGACGTCTCACGCCCGGTGCCCACTGTTCGGAGACCCCAATGCGACACCTCCGACGCGACTCAGCGGCTTCAGGTGACGTAACAGCACAGAGATTGCACGGCGCTGGGCTCGCCGGACGCCGCGTGCTGCTGGACGCTCCTTGAGGTCGAAGGTGCTGACCCTTCACGCGCCGCGCTTATATAGGTTTCGGAAGCGCCTTGAGGGCGGTGCCCGGTTATGAAATGTGCTAACGCAGTAGACTTGTTTCCGCTCATCGACAATTTGTGCTTCCTATTGTGACTCATTTTTGTGCGTAGGTACTAATTTTTCAATCAGATGATTCATTAGTCCTCTGAAATTCCATCCTAAATTTTGTTCTGAGGTAGTTTTGAGAGATGAACAAAGGAAATATTTTTCCGCTAGTGTGAGTCATCGTTCAGTCCCACGATTTTACTAATAAAAGCTTTGTCAGAGTTCTTTATTGGTTACTAGAAATAATTGCTTGTCGAACATCGAAACGCTAACGCCAATGTACCGAAACTCTTCTTGATTGAGTGCCCTAAGCGGATTCGAGGAAGGTCTACATCGTGCCCATGGCGAACACCCAGAGTGAACACCATTTTCTGAATAGCGATATAGCTACTATGTATTACCATTGTGGAAATAACTTCGATTACAGTCCTCGTGAATGTCAAAAATCGACTGTCGTAGTTTATTTTTAACTTCCTTGGTGCAGAATTGACGATAATGGTTAACATGCAACCTGATCATCAAATACATAATAAAACTGTTGATGAAGACACACTTGGTAAGTTTGGAAATTTTCACCGAAAATAATGTAAATATTTTTAACTGACCTTTTCATTTCGTTTCAAAAATTGATTTGGGATTGGCGTACTTCCTTAACATGACAAAACAATTTTATTTCTGAAAGTAAAATATATTGCTGCCATTATTATAATTATTATTAATATCATTATTATTATTATTATTATTATTATTATTATTATTAATTATGTTGTAAAATGTGTTACTTCGTGACACCCTTCGTAGGAACTATTATAACTATATTGAAGGCTGACTTGTTTCAGTTGTGAAGCCATGTCGAGTCGTCACTTCTATATGATGATCAAGCGATCAAGTGTTCCATGAATTGAGCAGTTCTTTTGTTTTTCATTTACGATAAAGCAAAACCATCTACTTTAAAACGATAATAAAATTATAGTTATTAGACGACAGTCAGGTCTTGCTCTTCCAACACTTCATTAAGTTTCTTACTTTTTAGAAAGTATTTATAATCAGTAAAAAAAATATTCCTCGACTTTTTTTCTTTCTCGCTACCGCTTATGCAGTAATGTAATGTTACGCGAAAGACTGCGAATTTTCGGCTGAAAAACTCTTATTACAGACAGAGAGACAGACAGACAGAGAGGCATAGAGACATGGACAGAGACATGGACAGAGACATGAACAAAGACATGGACAGTGACATGAACAGAGACATGAACAGAGACATGGACAGAGACGTGGACAGAGACGTGGACAGAGACGTGGACAGAGACGTGGACAGAGACGAGAAGGCCGCGAGGAGGACGAGCAGACGTGCAGAGACGTGGGACAGAGACGTGGACAGAAGACGTGGACAGAGACGTGGACAGAGACGTGGACAGAGACGTCGGAACAGAGACGTGGAAGAGACTTGGACAGAGCTTGGAGAGACGTGGAACAGAGACGTGGACAGAGACGGTGGACCAGGAGACGTTAAAAACGTAGGACAGAGACGTGGACAGAGACGTGGACAGAGACGTGGAACGAGAATTGGACAGAGACTTCGACAGAGAGTGGCAGAGACTTTGGACAGAGACTTGAACAGAGACTATAGACAGAGACTTGACAAGAGACTTGACGAGACATTGGACAGAGACATGGACAGAGACATGGACAGAGACATCGGACAGAGACAAGGGAAGGGAGAGGACAGGGAGACGGACAGGGAGACGGCTAGGGAGAGGCGGACTAGGGAACGGCCAGGAGACGGCCACGGGAGACGGCACGGAGACGGCCCACGAGACGGACAGGGAGATCGGACAGGGGAGACGGAAGGGAGAAGCGGACAGGGAGACGGACAGGAAGACCGGACAGGGAGACGGACAGGAGAGACGGCGACGGAGACGGCCACGGAGACGGCACGGAGACGGCCTACGGGAGATGCACGAGACGAGGCCACGGAGAACGGTCCACGGGAAGAACGGCCAGGGGAGACGGCCACGGAGACGGCCGACGGAGAGGCCACGGACACGGCACGGAACACGGCAACGGACACGGCCACGCGTACGGCCAACGGACACGGCCACGGAAACGGAGAGACACGGCCACGGACGAGGCATCGGCCCACGGACACGGCCACGGACACGGCACGGACACGGCCCCACGGACACGGCCACGGACCACGGCCCCGGACACGGCCGGACACGGGCCACGGGACAGGCACGAACGGCCACGGACACGGCCGGACACGGCCACGGACACGGCCAGGAACTACGGCCACGGCACGGCACGGACACGGCCACGGAGACGGCACGGCGACGGCACGGAGACGGCCAGGAAAACGGCCACGAGACGGCACGGAGCGGCCACGGAGACGGCACGGAGACGGCCACGGCCACGGACACGGCACGGACGGCACGGCCACGCACGGCCACGGCCACGGCCACGGCCACGGCAGCGGCCAAGGAACGGCCACGGACACGGCAGGAGACGGCCACGGAGACGCCACGGAGAGGCACGGAGACGGCCAGGAGACGGCACGGAGACGGCCACGGAGACGGCCACGGCAGACGGCACGGAGACGGCACGGAGACGGCCACGGAGACGGCAACGAGACGGCCACGGAGACGGCCACGGAAGACGGCACGGAGACGGCCACGGGAGACGGCCACGGGAACGGCCGGAGACGGCACGGAGACGGCCAGGAGACGGCCAGGAGACGGCACGGAGACGGCCACGCGAGACGGCCACGGTGGAGACGGCACGGAGAGGCCCAAGGAGACGGCACGGACAGGCCATGACACGGCCACGGAGAACGGCACGGAGACCGGCGCGGAGACGGCCACGGAGACGGCACGGAGAAACGGCCACGGAGAACGGCACGGAGACGGCAGGAAGACGGCAGGAGACGGCACGGGACGCACGCGACGCACGGAGACGGCCAGGCCGGCACGGACAGGCACGGACACGGCCACGGACACGGCCACGGAACGGCACGACCGGCACGGACACGGCACGGACACGGCCAGGACAGGCCAGGCCACGGACAGGCACGGAACGGCACGGAACACGGCCACGGGACACGGCAGGACACGGCCAGGACACGGCACGGGAGACGGCCACGGGAGACGGCCACGGAGAACGGCCAAGGAGAAGGCCACGGAACGCCACGGAGACGGCCAACGGGAGAGGGCCACGGAGAAGGCCACGGACAGGCACGGACCGGCACGGGCCAGGACACGGAACGCACGGGCCACGGACACGGCCAGGCCACGGCCAAGGACACGGCCCACGGAGACGGCCACGGAGACGGCACGGAGACAGGAGCGAAGACGGCCACGGAGACGGCCAGGAAGCGGCACGGAAGAGGCCACGGAAGACGGCCACGGAGACGGCACGGAGAGGCCACGGAGACGGCACGCGAGACGGCCACGTGACGGCCACGGAGAACGGCAGGAGACGGCCACGGAGACGGCCAAGGAGACGGCCAACGGAGAACGGCCACGGAGACGGCCAACGGAGACGGCCACCGGACACGGCCACGGAGAAAGGCCACGGACGGCGCACGAGAACGGCCACGGAGACGGCCACGGAGACGGCTACGGAAGACGAGGCCACGAGACGGCGCACGGCAAGGGAAAAAACAAACGGGGCACGGCACGGACAACGGACACGGACAACGGAACGGACACGGACACGGACACGGACACGGACACGGGGAACGGAACGACA